CTGACCGTTGACCGGGGTGTGGGGGGGGGTGCAGACAATTTTTCCACGCCGACGACTCCGACATCGTCGGCCTGCTGTGCATCCACCGCGCGCGCGAGGGCGGCGAATCCGACCTTGTCTCCTCGCACCACGTGTACAACACGCTCGCCGCGGAGCGGCCGGACGTGCTGAAGACGCTGACCGAGCCGATCTGGTACTTCGACCGGAAGGGGGAGACGAGCCAGGGCGAGGAGGAGTGGATCCGCACGAGTGTGGTGTATCTGGAGCGGGAGGGGGAGCGGGAGGGCGATGCGCCGGCGAGGGTGTATACGAAGTGCGTCGTGACCCCTACCACCCTACAACCTTGCCCCCAGCACATCCCAACCCCACCCCAAAACCACAACACTAACAGACCCCCCAGATGGGACCCGTACTACGTCCGCTCGCTGACGCGCTTCTCCTCGACGGGCCTGATCCCGCCGCTCAGCGCCGCCCAAATCGAAGCCCTCGAGGTGCTCGAGGCCACCTGCAACCGGCTGGCGCTGCACATGATCCTCGAGGTCGGCGACATCCAGTTCCTGGCGAACTCGCACGTGCTGCACGCGCGCACGGCGTACGTGGACCACGCGCCGCCGACGCCGCGGCGGCACCTGATGCGGCTGTGGCTGGCGACGCCGGAGAGCGAAGGGGGCTGGCGCCTGCCGTTCTGGGATAGTAATGAGAAGAAGCGCGGGGGCATCCAGGTCGATGATCAGCCGCCGGTGGCGCCGTTGGATGCGGAGTAGATTGGATTCTTGCGGGACTTGGATTTGGGGGGGAGGGTCTTTTGTGGTGATTTGTGTTTTTTTTTTTTTTTTTTTTTCTTTGTGTGGTGTATGATTTAGCCGTGTCTTTTCTGTTGGGTGGAATGAAAATACCATGGTTTGTGTTAAGGTACTATGGGGATGGGATGGGATGGGGTTCGATCATAGTGTGAGTGTGTGAGTGTAATTAGGTGGTAGTCATAATTCGTACAGTACATTGCTTGTTGTACTTCCTCTCTCTTCCTCTCTTGATGCTAATGCTGATGCTGGAAAGGGGATACTGCCATCTGTGTTTCCGAGTTTCAGCTATCCTCAAGAGAACACATACAGCTCCAGTCTCCAGTCTCCAGCCATTCTACCCGCCCGCCTTGATCTTGTAATTCCCCCCACTCACAATCTCCACCTTGCCCTTGGCCACCATCCCCGCCAGAAACTCGCGCAGCTCCTCGTTGCTGAACGGAAACCCGCCGGGGACCGCGATCTTCAGCATCATCACGATCCGCTGCAGGGGCATGGCGCCCTGGTTCGTCAGCATCCCCACGATGAACTGCCAGTACAGGTTCATCTTCTCCATCGCGGCCGCTTCGGCCGATTCCTTGGCGGCGGCGGCCGCCGCTGCCGCTGCCGCCTCGGCCGCGTCTTCGAAGACCGGGGAGGTGCCGATGTTGGACGGGCGGCGGGGGTGGTGCGTCGTCGGGGTCGTCGGGGCGGTGTGGCTCGTGGGGGAGGTCGCGGTGGATTGGGCGGTCGGTGGGCCGTCATGCTCGCCAGCGGAGGAGGAAGGCAGGACTTCCAGGACGCGGAAGGTGTCGCGCGGATGTTCGTGGAGGATGCGTTTGCTCACCCAGAAGAGGCAGGCGGAGCGGACGAGAGTGGCGGGCATGTGGAGTTGGTGGGCGAGGTCGGGGATGGTTTTGGTGGTGTTGGTAGCGGAGGAGGAGTTGAACGCGTAGATGACCGTGGCTTGCCAGGTGGTGACTTCGTCGACGAAGACGCGGTCCTCCAGGTCGAGTTCCACGGTGACCTGGCCGAGGCCGTTGAGCCAGGTGAGTTTGCGGGATTGTTTGAGGGAGCCGAAGCCCTGCGCGTAGCGCTGCTGCAGGGAGGCGATGGGTTCGGGGACGCGGAACTCCGGCCCCGGGAGGTCGGGCCAGAAGAAATGCGACAGGATCTTGGCGTGGAGGTCGGGGTTCTCCGGTTGCTGCTGGCTCTCCGCTAGGCCTTGGTCGTTGCGGATGACGCCGTCGACGCGGCGCGAGTCGAAGATATCGCGGAGCATGACCTCGCACGCCTGCAGCGCGTTGTCACCAAAGCGGACTTTGAGTAATTCCAGCACGGACATCTCCTGGTCGAAGTCGGCACGTTTCCGCAAGAGACGCTCGCCGAGCATATTCTGCATCTCCTTGACGAACATCTCCTTCGAGTCGAAGAGGCTGATCAGACTGCCAATCACGTCCGACGTCCTGGATTTCCGGTAGTCTGGCGCCGCGTCCACCGGGTCTGGCATCCAGTTCATGTCATCCCAGTCGAGTTCGCCGCTGTCGGCTCGGAGGGAGTTCTGGTGCGCCTTGGTGAGCTCGGCGGAAAGTTCTACCAGCGTGTCCGGGTGGTGGACGGATGCGGTCTGGCCGTCCGCATCGGCAGGATCGGCCAGTAACCCGCCAACAATGACTTTGATGGTATCGTCTCGGTCACGGAGGTATCGACGGATGGGGCGGGCAATCCGATCGAGGAGAACGCCCTTGGGGTCAAGTAAATTAAAGGCTCGGATGATAGAAATATAGACCTGGAGAATCTCGATAGTGGATGCTCCCGGATGCAGCAGTCTTAAGTTCAAGGCTGCAATGAAGGACTGTGTCAGATGATATCGCGCGGCTGGGTAGGTCGTGAAGTGCCGGAGATCCTCGATCGCACCGCTGCTTGCAGGCCACTCCACGATCACATCGAAGAGCTCGCTCGTGCGTAACGCTCCCAGACGAGCGATGCCAATCTCTTGCCACTTCTCCACATCGCCCAGCGTCACATCGAAGTTGTCGATTTCCCTTTCACCGGATTCAGGCACATTGATGATTGACAGGACCTGCACAACTAGCTGCGCGAAGACGTTCTCAATCCACTGCCGCAAGTGCTGCGAAGCAAGCGACGGGCCCTCCCACTGGCCCGTATACGCTGTTCGCACGAACTCGGTCATCAAAGCATCCATGACGCTCGCGAACACCTTCTGTGCCTTGTCGCCGCCCATCCCCACGAGCTGCAGCCCATTGAATAGCATCAGCAGCCGCTCTCGCGCAGCCCTGACCTGGGAATCTTGTTCCGTTAACATCTGCATCCGGGCGGAGGGCGAGGGCTCGTCGCGCCAGTCCTGGTAGGACACGGAGCACTGCCGATCCACATCCATGTCATCCACATCATCCAGCCCGTCCGCAGCAGCCCTCTCCCGCAGGGCATCGATCCCCAGGATGACCAGCGCCTCCTTCATGACCTCGCGACTCAGCAACGCAGACGCCTGCGACCACGGCAGTGCGTAAGCCACCATCATATGAAACGACCGACACAGTTTCCCATACACACTCTCCTGCTCACCCCGATACAGCGCGGTCAGGATCTCCGCCAGCGGCTCGAAGTAGATCCCTCGAATGACTTGCAGACACACCACAATCCTCTGCAAGAGACCATCCTTCTCCGGCCCTTGGAGCGTCTGCATCGGTAAAAAAAAAGCGTCAGCAAGCAAGCACATTTACCCCCATTTTCCCACCGACCCAACAAACTCACCTCAACCAACCCACTTCTCACATTCCTCAAAAAGTGCCTCCGGATCTCAAACCCGTACCAATCCAGGATACTCTTCTGCAGCGCGTCCCTTTGCTGTCGCATCCTCCTCTGCCCGAGAAACGGCTCGAGTAAGCACGCGAACGCATCCAGGATCTCCTGGTCCGCCGTGCGATGGCGGTTCCACAGCCGCATGAAGTGGGACTGATCCATCTGTTCGCACCGGAGGAGCGTCGCGAAGCCCCGGTCGGGGACCGCGAGGAACTTCGTCGCGACGCGCCAGGCGCGGTCCCAGGTCGCCTGCTCGGGGCAGAGCTCGTCGTGGTCGTCATCGTCTGAGGTTGCGATCTCGGTTTGCTGGGAGGTGGTGGAGGTGCGGAAGGTGGGATTCTCGGGGCGCTGGGAATCGGGTTGGTGGGAGCGGTGGGAGGAGCGGGAGAAGAGGGGAGGGTTCGGACCGAGGGCGTGAGACTTCGCGGCCAGAGGGAAGTCGTCGAGCGAGGCTGGGGGGAGGACGGAGGAGAAGACGCGTTTGCGCCGGCTGGTGGTGGGTGTAGCTGTTGTTGGTGGCATTGTGGTGGGAGTGGAGCCCGGATAGTGAGGGATCAATCGAGGAGGGTCATAGTAGAGCTGGATGTGGCTTGTGGTCGCTGCGCGCCTTCATCGAGGCGGCATTGTAGTGTATGAAGTCCGGTGTCGTGGATGTTGTAGTGATTGAAGGAGTGCAGTTGCTGGAATTGACGGTGTTGATGGTTTGGAGGTGTCGGCTGAGTCAGCTGGCTTATCGATAAGGGATTTTCTAATGAGGAAATCCCCAAGCATGTCGGACTCAAGTTATAGTACAGCTAGCTGAGGTCCAATTAGAGCACAGAACTGTGTTACTTTAAAGTTAATGTATTCAGCTGGAGAGATAAATCCATGCTGCACCACACTGAAGCCTACAGCCTTACAATCAAAGCCGATCTTGTATTGCAAAGGTAGCTTTGCTTCCAAGTCACCGCAGCGTTAAAGAGAGATACACAGATATACAAGCCGGTGTGCAAATCGAACGCAGTCACTGTGTAAGATGAAGGATCAAAGGCACTAGCAAGTCACGCGGGGATTTATGGTCTGCTAGCTGATCCTGACTCTCGGACAATGGTATCTTGGAATATCGTCAGGTGGGGATCTCGTATTGGCTATGCAACATGGCAACATGGCCTGCAGCCGCTTTACTTTGGCTAAGAGCTTCTCCAAGATTTGTGCCACTGGGGGCTTATCACTTTTCCGCCAGTGCGTTAACTGCCAGTGTTGTGAGTACTACTTGAATGCCCAACGGGCTGTTCTGATGCACGGAATGAGTCTAACATGATGATACATTGGCATATCATCAGTCTACCGGCAAGGCATGTTATCTAACGGGTATCTCGTCGGTGCGAGGAAAAGACAAGGCCACTCAAATATTGAACATATGCATCCCCGCCCACGAGACAGATGTATCGGAGTCTGTTCTGAGGGGTTGTGTAGGTAGGTGTAACCAAAAGGCACTTCGAGCCGGGTCTGGGCCCCCAAAAGTAGCTGCATCTGCGCGACCGCAAACCTGTTGCGTATCTAGGCCGTCTGGTTATCGTCCACCTTCTCCCATTCGCTATCGGTGCTCTGGTAGCCCGAGCTCTCGCCGCTGACGCTGAGACGCTTCCGGATTTCGCCTTGCGCCTCGGGGAGCTGGAGGGTGGCCGAGGCAGTGGTGGACCGCGGAGCGGATGTGGGCACTGGTGCTGTCTCCTTGCGCACGGCGATTTGTTCAGTCTCCGTATCACTATCGGTGGCGTCAAGAGCACCAGGAGTCTTGCGGACGCTGCTGTCCGGCTTGTCCTCGGAGCTCTCGTCCTGTTCCTGACCCGCTTGCTTCTGTTTCTCCGCTTCCTCGGCCTGGAACTGCCTTACTTCTCGCGCAAACCAGTTGATAGACCACCAGAGAGCGCCAGATAGAAAGGATAGAACCAGGAAGTGAATGCTGTAGGTAGCCAGGAGGAGAGACAAGAGCAAAGCCTGCAGAGCTGCAAAGGTGACGTTGGTCGCGACCAGGAGCGTGGGGGTGGGTCCCGGAGTGAAAATGCTGGACCAGAGGTCCTCCATGAACGAAGCCATAATGGCGATCTGCCTCAGCTCGATTGGCCGGCCGAATGCGGGGGGAGATTGCAAGGTACTAGGTTGGGTGAAGCTGGGGGAGGAAGGGAGATGACGTCGCAGCCGGAAAGTGGAATCCGTTGCAGCGGTGGTGGGTTTCTTTTTCTGTGCTTATTTTTCTCCTCTCTCGTTCAGCCGGTGGGTCGCTCGGTGTGAGGTCGAGGTTGCTGGCTTGCGTTGAAGACTAGATGGCTCTACAGCTACCCAGAGATCTGGCGAGTAAAAGGTCTTCTGTGTAAGATACCGAGTTGGAGGGAAGGTTGAGTGAGGAAGATGGAGGGAAGGTCGGCGCAGGGGAGAGTCGCGGAATGTTTGGGTGTTTGGGTTGCGGGGGAGGATCGACCGATCAGGTTTGGCCGGTCGGCGTTTGACTTGAGCCGATGGTGGGGAATATCACTTCTGTGGTCTTTGGTTGAGTACACAGTAGACCAGGAACTGGGCTAGTCACGGTTTACCCCGTGGGGGATCGATGGGTAAAAGTGGAAATTGTAGACGAGGGTGGATAGAGGGAACTGTGGAAGTAAAAGAAGAAGTTGAGAGAGAGATTTCAGGCTACTTTCATGAAGAGATGGAGAGAAGGAAGGGAAAAGAGGGGGAGGGGGAGAGACCAGCTGCCCGCTCTGGTGCCCGCTCCGGCGGTGGGCAGCAGAGGTGAGGAAAGCAGCAGCAGCAGCAGCAGCAGCCCAACGACTGCAAAGTCATCCTCATCATCACGGGATCGAATGGTTTGTCAGGCAGGCAGGCAGGCAGGCAGCATATCTCAGAAGGTCTCTCTCCCTCTTTCTTTCCCTCTCCCTCTTCCCCTCCGGCTATCGTCAGCTCTCCGTCTCTATCCACTTCCGTTGCCGACTGTCGCATCATCCATGATCTCCCGATTGGGGCAACTCTGGCCACCGCGTGATTGGAAGATGCAGTCATCATTTTTACTTTCTCTCTCGTGCGGTGGGAGATGCACCTGTCATCTCCACGGCTGAAGAAGCGATGACACGGTCATCCTCCCTACCCGCAACCCCGAGATAACGACCATGTCGGAGGGATCAGATTGATCAGCCTGCGGTCTGAGAAGGGGGACTGAGCAACTCTGTTTGCTCGTACAACCCCCCACGGAACTTCCCCGACCTGAACTGAAGCCAAGTCTGATTCCGTTTGCATGTCCGGATTTGGCAGATGGACTCCCATGCCGTTACAATGACGATGGCACGTGCTACATTGCGATGACAAGCACACACAATCCTGGAAGATCGCACAATCTCGACTACAGGTGTAGCTGGTGGTCTGATTTGAGCTCCAGGTTCTTTTCTATTCTGTTGTTGGAGTTAGAATGCCTGATAAGACACCAGACCGGCAATTCGATGTTGTTCCATTCCCAGTCCGTTCTCTTCGATGGGATTCGCCGCTTGGCCGCTTGGCTTCGATGGTAGATGGCTCTATCCCCGTCCCACTTGCATCCCCCTCTTCTATTCGACCATCCACCCTGCAGATCACCGCATTTAGGGTTATTTTCTTCTCCTCTCTTCTGCCTCATGGCGCTGGAACCATCCGGGGACAACAATCTGGGCCGGGGCGAATCAGGTCGTACCGGTCCGCCCGCCGTTACCCAAGGCTTTTGGCTGCCTCCGACTGGTTCCAAGCTTCGACCATATTCACTTCCCCCCCGGATTCTGTATGACTATAAGTAACACTGTAACCTCTCGCTGTAGACATGTAGACCTCTCTGGCAACGTCGATCACCTGCAGCAGATCTCCTTCCTCTCCTCTCCCCGACCCACTGGGATCACTCCCTAAGCACTTCGCTCCTCCTCCTTCCCCCTTTGTTTATCCTTCACGTTTATGGCCATGACCACCAAATCTGATCAACCCACCAAAGACCTCATTGCAGATGGTCGATCCTCCATCCAAGGGGTCACCCACCATGCCGAGGACATTGTTGACGGCCGGGAGCCCTACGGCCCACCCGGGATCCGGGGTCTCATCGCCAATCCCTTTGTACTCCTGTGTGCCGGATGCTCAACCCTGGGAGGTCTGCTTTTCGGGTATGACCAGGGTGTGGTCTCTGTGATCCTAGTCATGGACCAATTTCTGAAACGCTTTCCCGAGGTAGCTGAGGGACACTCAGGCTCCGGGTTCTGGAAGGGGTTGATGACAGCAATGATTGAGTTGGGAGCACTCATAGGCGCCTTGAACCAGGGTTGGATCGCGGATAAGATTTCGCGACGATACTCCATCATCGTGGCAGTGATTATCTTCTTGATCGGTTCTATTCTGCAGACGGCAGCGATGGACTATGCCATGTTGACAGTTGCCCGGTTTATTGGTGGTCTGGGAATCGGCATGCTGTCTATGGTGGCCCCATTGTACATCTCTGAGATCAGTATGTATCCGTTATTGGAGGAGGACTGACATTCTTGATGCTAATATTTGCTGCTGCGCATAGGCCCTCCCGAGTGTCGCGGTACCCTCTTGGTGCTGGAAGAGTTCTTCATTGTGCTGGGAATCGTCATCGCATACTGGATCACGTATGGCACTCGATACATGGCCGGGGAATGGGCCTGGCGCCTGCCGTTCTTGCTTCAGATGGCCCCGGCTATCATTCTGGTGGCTGGTGTCATTGTTTTGCCGTTCTCGCCGCGCTGGCTTGCCTCCAAGGGCAGAGAGGAGGAAGCCCTGCAGAGTCTGTCGCGACTGCGGCAGTTGCCTGCGACGGACAAGCGTGTGCGCCAGGAATTCATGGATATCAAGGCCGAAGTACGCTTTCACCAGGAGATCAACGCGCAAAGACATCCCAATCTCCAGGATGGCGGACTGAAGAGCTCGCTGCTGTTGGAGATAGCCGGCTGGGCGGACTGTTTCAAGAGCGGATGTTGGCGGCGAACCCACGTGGGTGTCATGCTCATGTTCTTCCAGCAGGTATGTCCCCCTCTAGCTCCCTATTTGATACTCTGTTCAGGGCTAACGTGATCATAGTTTGTCGGTATTAACGCCCTTATCTACTACTCTCCGACCCTTTTCCAAACCATGGGCCTAGACTACGACATGCAACTGCTCATGAGCGGAATCCTCAACGTCCTGCAGCTGGTCGGTGTGGCCACGACAATCTGGACGATGGACAGCATCGGCCGTCGCCCGTTGCTTCTCTGGGGTGCAGCCATCATGGCGCTCTGCCACATCATCATCTCCGTTCTGGTCGGCCTCTACTCGGACAACTGGCCTGCTCACCGGGGACCCGGCTGGGCCAGTGTGGCTCTTCTTTTCGTGTACATGATTGCTTTTGGAGGATCCATTGGTCCTGTTGGCTGGGCGATGCCGTCCGGTAAGCAGAAATTCTCATTGCTGGACACGCACAAGAACCAGGATCCTAACAAGCCATCCGCTAGAAATCTTTCCCTCTTCGCTCCGCGCCAAGGGGGTGGCGCTGTCCACCTGCTCCAACTGGCTCAACAACTTCATTATCGTAAGTGCAGCAGTTCGATCCGTGATTCACCTCCATTAACGCATCCCCAACAGGGCCTGATCACTCCACCCCTCATCCAAGACACCGGCTACGGGGCCTACGTCTTCTTCGCCGTCTTCTGTGTTCTCACTTTCCTGTGGACCTTTTTCTTCGTCCCCGAGACGAAAGGGCGCACCCTCGAGCAGATGGACCACATCTTCAAGGACAATTCCAGCGAAGCCGATCGGGACCTTCGACGGTCGGTCGAGGCTCGGATACTGCGGGAGGAGGAGGAGACCCAAGGCGCTTCTGTTTGAGCAGATCTTTCAGTCTATCCCTCTGTCTTCGTCTCATCGAAGATCAGACAGGGTGTGTGTCATCTGCAGCTTCACGTCCACTGGTGGATCCGTGCGCTGCAGCTTCAATCCTTCATACATAGCGTTTATTAGGTAGTCCCAGGGTTATGAATTACGATTTTCAATTTTCATGATTGGGTTTATTTTCTTGTGATGTAGACTTGTTAGTTTGTTGAGCGTATAAGTATAACATGCTTGCTGCTTCGTGTGTAGGACAAAGACCATAATGCGATGCATGCAGTGTAACCGTCGATCAGCCCTGCATCCCTGCGGGGACAACCACAAAAGGTCGCCTTGTCCCCGTCCACTCCCGCAACTCTCCAACTTCGCTCACCACCCGCTCAAAAGGAGAGCATTATCACCCAACATGTGGTCCAAGCACTTGATTCTACTAAAAGTCATCCTCAACACGGCCCTTGCGACTGCAAATCCCGAACCAGTCGATGCGACCACCCTCGCTGAGTTCATAGAGAAGGAAACCCCGATCGCCTGGAAGGGGATTCTCAACAACATCGGAGCAGAGGGAGCACTGGCACACGGCGCCTATCCAGGCATTGTGGTCGCCTCACCCTCCAAATCCGACCCCGACTGTAAGCCCCACTCCCATTCCGACGCACACATATGAACAAGCTAACGAGCGTGGCAGATTTCTACACCTGGACACGAGATGCGGGGCTGACCATCCCCGCCATCACCGCCCATCTGACCGACGACGGGGACGACACCTCCACCATCGAACGCGTCCTCCAACAATTCGTCACCTCGCAAGCAACCCAGCAAACCGTCTCCAACCCCTCCGGCGCCCTAGCCGATGGCACCGGGTTGGGCGAGCCCAAATTCCACGTCAACATCACCGAGTTCACGGAGGCGTGGGGGCGCCCGCAGCGCGACGGACCCCCCCTGCGCGCCTCCGCCCTCATCGCCTACGGGAACCGCCTCCTCGCCCACGGCAAGACCGCCCTCGCCCGCTCCAACATCTGGCCCATTGTCCGCAACGACCTGGCCTACGTCGCCCAGTACTGGAACGAGACCACCTTCGACCTCTGGGAGGAGGTCCGGGGGTCCTCGTTCTTCACCACCGCCGTCCAGCACAAGGCGCTCGTCGAGGGCCAGGCGTTCGCGGCGGCGGTGGGCGAGACGTGCGCCGGCTGCGCGGTGATCGCGCCGCAGATCCTGTGTCATCTCCAGCAGTATTGGGACGGCACGGCGGCGGTCATTTCTAACATCCCAACCAGCGGGCGCTCGGGGCTTGATGCGAATTCCATCCTTGCTGCGGTCCATACCTTCGATCCGGAGGCGTCGTGCAATGATGATGGTGATGGTGGTGGCGGTACCTTCCAACCGTGCTCGCCCCGCGCGTTGTCGAATCATAAGCATGTGGTCGACTCGTTCCGATCTCTGTACAAGGTGAATGAGGGCCGTGGGGCTGGCACGGCGGCGGCGGTGGGGCGCTACGCCGAGGATATCTATCAGGGGGGGCATCCATGGTATGTCGTGCTGAGTCTTTCCCTGTCCTACGACTGATGAGAAGCTAGGTACCTCACGACCCTTGCCGCGGCGGAGCAATTGTACGACGCCTTATACCAGTGGGACCGACAAGGCGTCATCGACGTGACAGCGGTGTCTGCGCCTTTCTTCGCGGACCTCCTCCGCGACCTCGTCCCTGGGTCCTACCCACGAGGCTCGGATGAATACGCGGCCATCCGCGATGCGGTGAGGCGGTATGCGGACGGCTTTGTCTCCGTGGTCCAGGAGTATACCCCGGCGGATGGCGGGTTGGCGGAGCAGTTCGACCGCAACACCGGGAAGCCGGTGTCGGCGGTCGATCTGACGTGGTCGTTTGCGGCGTTCCTGACGGCGACGGCGAGACGGAGCGGCGCGGTGCCTGCGTCTTGGGGCGCGTCCGCCGCAGCGCCGGCCCCGGCGACGTGTAGCGCGACGAGCGTCCCCGGGCAGTATGCTACGCCGGTCGTTGGGTCATGGCGGGTGCATGACGAGCTGAGGTGATTGACTCGCACCATGCAGCCTCATCACACGCCAACTTGAATGATGAATCGTGCTCCAGGGGCTTGAGTATCTTTGATACGTGTCTGGGTAATTAATCTAGAGCAGGTTATTTGAGCGACATAAGAACAAAACTGAGCAAAAAACATACAACAGAAGGGATTCGCTGGTGGTCACCCACCCAACTACTAACCTCCCGGCGTGTGGCTTAAGTACGGCTGAGCGGACGGGAAGCCCTGTTCTCCACACCCTATGGTCGTATGTACGGGCTGGGATGTCGGAAGTGTATATAACTCACGTGTTTCTCTCCTACATTCATTTCTCTGTTGAAACTCCTGTCGCCACTTGCGTTTGAGCAGTGGGTTTCTTAATTACTGGCTCCAAGAGAACCCTCTCATGGCCCGGTTGTTGACGAAGGTTCACAAGGCACTTTTCTCGAGCTTATCGGGAGCACTTGACCTCCACTCAGTGATCGTTTGTACATGGATAGGGCTTTAAAGAGCATGCTTCGGATCCTCGCATTTGAGAGCATGTTCACAGACCAAGGGCAGGAGGGGAACCGGAATTCTTGCTAGTCTAGAGGCTTCATGCCAGCAGCAGTGGAACGGGAGGCGAGGCAGGATTCAAGATCACGCGGATTGCCCGTGCGATGGTTGCGCGACGAGATGTGGGGCTGAGAGGTTGTTTTAAGTACCCAGCGCAGGTTGGGATTCATTGATTGGGGTGGGCACCCCTTCCATTCACTTGTCCTACACGTCTCCCGGTCTATAATGGAACTGCTCGGCAACGGATAGCTTCCTGAACAGAGTCGCTGGCATTGATCGACTTCTCCCCGTTATACTTCACTACAACAAGCTATCCGATGAATAGCCCGACCTACCCTCCACCATCCGATTCCTCGCGGCAAGCTGAGCTCTTAGTACACCCGACCATCCATTCCACCTAAACACGGCATTTCGGCTCCGTGGTCCCGTCAAACTTGTCCTGCTCGGCCTTGAAATCCTTCCCGATGCTTTCCATGTCGTCCTCGGTCACGGCGCGACGCGCGGCGGCCGCGGCCGAGAAGTCGTCCGCGTCGCGCAGGCCTCCGCCCCCGATGAGACTCAGGAGCACCATGGGGGCGGAGGTGGGGTCGGAGACGATGCTCTGGATGCCCAGGGCGACGTTGCCGGTGGCGGCGACGGTCTCGAAGGCGCCGTCGAGCAGCTCCAGCTCGGGGGTGAGATCGTCCAGGAAGGGGAGGAAGGCGAAGGCGATGCCCAGGATCTCCAAGACGAGCTTGATCTTGTCCTCCTTGGCCTGCTTCTCGCCGATGGCCTTGACGCTGGCCATGGAGGCGATGGCCTGCTGCAGCATGAGCACGGGCATGGAGAAGGTCTCGAGCAGGTCCTGCATGCCGCCGGCCCAGGCGCCGAAATTGAGGTCTAGCTCGCGGGCCAGGATGTTGTTCTGCAGGGTGCCGATGGAGGGCCACGCCGCGGTGATGATGTCCTTGGGGTTCGTCACGTCTATCTGATTGGACTTGACGGCCTCGGGGACGTTGACGTAGCGGTAATCGGTGCCGTCGGAGCAGTCGCCCGGGATGCAGTGGCCGATCTGGCGCACCGGACCCCCCTGGTTGCCAAAGGTCACCCACGTCTGGTTGATGCCGTAGGTGCTCGCCAGTTCGCCGTAGAACCCGCTGGCGTTCTTGAGCGTGTACGTCATGGTGAAGGCGTCGGCGCCCATCAGCTGCCGGTAGGTAAACGGGCACTGCTGCGTCGAGGTCGGCCCGTAGCCCTCGCAAGTGCAGTCGAAGTACTTGTTGCCGGGCCCGCCCTGGGGCTGACTCGGCGTCGAGCCGGCCATGAAGGCCTTGAGGGCATCAGGGACCATGTCCCGCACATACTGCTGGTAGTACCCGAAATACTTGTCGTAGTCCTTGTTGGCCGCGGTGTAGTTGGCCAGCGAGGCGTTCAGCGTGGTGTAGAGGGTGCCCATGGCGTAGTAGGGCATGCATTGGTCGGGATAGCTGCCCAGCGCGTTGTTGAGCTCTTCGACCGTCGCGTACTGCTGGGTCAGGTCGCAGTGCCAGGTCGACAGACACGCCGGGTCGGTCGAGTCATCGTCGCAGGAGAGAATCTCCGGCGCATAGTCGTCCAGGTAGGCGGCCAGGGCACTCCAGAAGGGATGCCCGATTGCCTGTGTGTTGTTGGCTGCGAGGATGATGTTGTTGTCGTTGACATTGCTGATCATCTCGACGGCGCCGATGGTGATCAGGTTCCACACGTACAAGCCCGAGTTCTCGCCCTGATCCAGGACGATCCGCTGCTGGCAGTTCTGCGTGTCGACACAGGTCTCCAGGTAGTTGTCGTACCACGAGTAGAGGCCGGCGCCTGCAATGGTGAGGTTCGTGTTTTCGTTCAGGATCACCGCCCAGGCGAAATTGCAGAGCTCGGGCGACGCGGTGCAGGTGGCATCCGGGAAGCTGGGGTCGTTGGTGAAAAGGCCCACCGATGCGTTGAAAGGCCCCGGAGACTCGGTGGCATCGGTAAACTGATAGTATGGAGACTCGGTCTGGATCATCCCGGCCAGGGTATTGGTGGCGTTAATGAAGTTGTACTGGTAGAGGATGGAATGCTCCGAGGCGGTGCCGTACATCCAAGTTGGCCCTGAGGTCGACTCGACCAGCATTCCTCGCGCAACTCCGACGGTGATCTGGGTGTTGGCTGGGTCGTCAATGTCATGGTCGGCCACCCACAGCCACATGTTCTCAAAATAACCATTGGACTCCGGGGTGATGTGGAGCATCAAAGAGGCTGCGACACAGCCCGGTGCAACCGCGTCGCTGATGGGACAATCGGCCAGCTGCAATTTGGTGCCATATGCGCCGCCCACGCGGAAGTGCGAATCCCAGATGCCCACCGAGCCCTGGATCTCGGCCTGGACGTTCCATTCCATCATCACCAATCCCGGCAGTTCTCCAATGGAGGTGAAAAGCATGTCGCTGATCTCTACCGTTCCCACGTCGCCGGGGTTGCCTACTTGGATCATGACTTTAGGGCTGGTCATATCGGCGAAGTAGTCGCCCGAGGCCACAAGCTGCGACCACACTTGCCCTGTGATGCGGGTATGGGCTGGGATAACGATCGTGGAGGTGACGATGTAGGAGCCTGGAGGGAAATAAATCAGGTTGTCGGTCGTGGCCAGCGCCAGCGCCGCGACAATGGCCGCGGTATCATCGGTGGCCCCGTCCCCCGCGGCGCCATGGTCTTTGACGCTGACAATGCTGCCCACTGAGAGGTCCTCATACTGCGGGCGACTTTTGTAGAAGTACGAGTCTCGATAGAGCACCTGGTCCTGCGCAGCATCCAGAAGAGGCGGTGGGGGGTTCTGGACATTCACTGCGTAGGACCCGAAGGACTTGGAAGCATCTTCCTGGAGGTTCCCGATAACCACAAAGTCCACGTCACCATTTGGAAGGTCAAGACTTGAGCCATCCGTGAAGGCAACCATGGTATCGACGCCGTTGACCCCGATGTTGTCCAGAGTGATAATGCTGGTTTCCAGAATGGTCGACTGCTCGAAGTCTGCCTGGATGGCAATGGGGGTCTCGTCGAACATGGTATCGAGGATGTAGGTTGATCCGGCGGGCTGACCCGAGGTATCCTGGGGGTTGATCAGGCTGATTCCGATGGGAGAGCTGGAGAGGTGCAATCCGGACCAGGTCCAGCCCCAGTCCCAGATCAGGCAGATGCTCGCCTTGGTTTGACTGAAGATCTGAAAGTCGCGGACCGTGTATTGCTGGTTACCACCATAGATACCGTACGCTCCACCCGAGATTGTGCATCCGGACATGAAGCCACCGCTGCCGTTTTCGGTGTAGAGGCCCATCTGGGTGGTTCCGGCGCTCGTGCTGGCACTGATGTACACGTTAGTCAGGGAGGTCGCTTGAGCAACCTGCCAGTGCAGTCCGGCCGCACTCGCGGTGGTGGTCTCTGAGATATCAATGATGAGGTTTCGGACCTGGCGGTAGAAGTTGGATTGCTACAGATGACGGACGGGTCAGTTCTGTGTTTTCAGAGGGATGACGTCTCAACAGTCGACCTACTTCAATGTACCACTCATTTCCATTATCGTTGGGAATATAGACGTCACTTTGGATTGCTCCCAGGCCAATGAACGAGGGAGAGGTTTTGATGATCGGAAGATCATTCTTATCGCCCACCAGTTGAGAGTAGTAAGAGGCATTGAGGGGCGAGGAGATGAGGTATGTGCCCGGCGGGAAATAGATGAATGTGCCTTTGGTCGAAGATGATTCACAGTTTTCCTGGCAGCTTCCTCCGAAGGAAATAGCGGCGTTGATGGCATCGGTGTCGTCAGTCACACCATCACCCTTGGCTCCAAACATGGGATCGGTGACGTCTCGATAGACCGGGTAGGATGAATCCCACCCCATGGGCGGGCGGCCATGGTCAACCTGGGCTGGCCAGTAGCCCGATGACGAGTCTGTGGTGTCCCGCTTCGCCAAGGTCAGGGGCTTGGGCGCCTTGGTGAATTGACTGTAGCTCTTGTGAAGAGTACCATTCCTCAACTGCTGAGCGGCGTGGCGTTCAGCCAGGAGCGCGGCTGCGGCTCGGAGGCGGGCATCCAACGTGGGCGCCGCCGGCTGGTCAGACCTTTTGTGCTGGGTCGAGGCATAGGTAGCATTGGAATGGCGCGATTCATATGTGTTGCGCTTGGGGTTCGCTACTCGCCAGGCATTGTACTCGGATTGCTGCGCTACAGCAGCTTCCACGAGCTTCTGAGCCTGCCGCAGCTCACTGCTCGAGACATTGAGGGAACGTGGCCGGGGAGGATTGGCAAGCGCCTGCCTCTGATGCCACAGATGGAAATCAGAGTCGGCGATTGGGGTGGCCCCAATCAGACTGAGGCAGAAACCTAGAAGCACGAACAAGGAGAATGTCCTTCGCATTAAAGCTACCATTTTTCGGCATGCTAGGATGAACGAATGAAAGAGAACGATTGTTGGATCAAGAAGTCAGGCTTAGGGAAGGGATTTAGCACAGATGGCCACGGTCGAGGCGCAATGAACGCCCTGAAGGAATGGCTGACTGACTGACTGAATGAATGAATTGATGAATGAATAAATAAATAAATGAATGAATGAATGGATTGATGAACGAATAGACAAAGAGTGACTGGCAAAACAATAGCCTGGGGGGTGAGTGATGTGGAGCTTTCTGCTGTCAGTCGAGTCCCAAGGACATACACCGCATATATACCACCGGGGTTGGACAAGAAATCTCCTTTCCCAAAAAGCACTCCCTGGATCCGATCGATCCGAGGACAAAGAGATACATTACGAGAACCTTTTTCTAATCGCGATATCATGAGAGTGAGATAAATGATTAATTTTCGCCGAAGTCGACAATTAGGGCTAATGCACTCCGAGGGGCGTGGTAAACCCGCCCCCACCTACTTTGATAAGGCTAGATCTAGTCTATAGTATGACTATATTGTACTGTTTGAGTTAACTTTACTAGGTCCATCCTGCTGAGAAATTTGCTTCCAGACCCCCCAGCCCCTGGCCCTTGTTCTGTATGAAAAGAACCTCCTGTATTTATTCGATTAAGCTGGGAACTCTTGCTCCCCTGTTGAAGCCCTCATTCCTTACCTCCTTTCCTATCCCATCTTGCCCTCTTGTTTCCCTCGTTGTTGGCTACGCCAAACCAATCACCCAAGATGTATTCCATCTCTCGATTTCTTTACCTTAGTTTTGGGGGTTTCCCTGCTGTCTTCGCCCAGCTGGAGACAATTGGTGTTACAACTTCTGGAGTCACTCCCATAAGTTCCGTCTCATCGACGGTCATCTCGACGGCATCTTCATCAGGAGGCTCGACTGTATCGGCCTCCCCATCGCTCATTACCGCCTCATCCAGTGTCATCACTCCGGGGGATCCGTTGGTGCTCACCACGGTGTATACCCAACCTTCAGGATGCGCGGGAGGGATGACCGAAATCCCAGCTTGGTCGACTGAGCTCTGGCAGAACATTGTCAATCCAGTTCCTACATTGACACTCTCATCCTGCTACCCCAGCCAATTCTCCTATAGTGCGGTGGCTACTAGTGTCTTGCCCCCGTACAAGCAGCTGGTATGTCCGCAAGATTGGGAGACTTACAACATCACCGACACATACATTGTCTGTTGTCCCAGGTATGTGATATGCTCGTCACTCAAACTTTCCATTACGCTCCGGACAAGACTAACTGAAAATGTACCCTTGCAACAGCAACTATGGAGTATATATGCCCAACTACCAGGACTCCACGCGTCCAGGTTTGGGCGCTATCTGCACTTCTAGCATCTGGCCCAACGTGCTGATGGACATCACCAGCTATGATACTGCGGGATCGGCCACCGTCATTCCCACCATCGCTGGGGATGATGGAGCTCTCGTGTTTGCAACAGGATTCGATGGAACCAGAGCCACGGCTATCGCCTCATCCACCACGATGGAATCTTCCACCACATCCCCTACCAGCACCACTTCGATGCCTTCCCTCAGTGACACTGTCCCTGCGACGACCCTTCCCCCCCAAACGACCTCAGTCACCGCAACTCTAACCGCAATCTCCCAGCTGCCTTCCTGCGGCGTAAGCCCCCCCTGCTCCTGTGCTCCACTGAAGTCTACCTGCTAACTCCATTTCTCGCGCAGCAAACCTGCTTCAACAACATGCTCGCGCAGTACGATAGTCTCGGCTGCACGACCTCCGACCCATCCTGCCTCTGCCGAAACATCAACTTCTACTACGGAATCCGCGACTGCGCCAACGCTGCCTGCGGGACCGCCGCGGCGAGCACGGTTCTGGCCTTTGAGAGCGGATACTGCACCTCGGCCATAGCCGCTGAAACCACGTATCCGGTGACCACCAGTAGCCCCACGACCAGTGCTGCACCCAGTGCCACCGCAATCTCCGACCTCCCCACCTGCGGTCAGACCTGCTTCAACAATATGCTAACCCAATACTCGTCCCTCGGGTGTAGTAGTCCGGACCCGGCCTGTCTGTGCGAGAACATCAACTTCTACTACGGCATGCGGGACTGCTCGAATGCCGCCTGTGGCACCGAGGTGGCCACCACCGTTTTGGCTTACGAGAGCGTATACTGTGCTTCTGCTACGGCGGCAGCTGCCACTGGCAAGTAAGGTGTGAGCGAGGATAAGGGATAAGGAGTGGCGGGGGTGCCCGCTGGAGAGGTAGTTTTACATGTTCACCGATTGGGGCTTCACTCCGAGGCGCCAGCCAGTGGTGAACTGGCTCTCTTCACCACGTGCGCCACAAACTTGAGACATCTTAATCTAGTTTGGAAATTTTGATTCGTCCGTGCAGATCTCGAGTCTCTACCCAGGTGTCATTGATAAGGGGTAACCTGATACGATAGGTGAGTCAGAGTAAGCAACGACTCTGGTCCTGCGTTAACAGGCACCCAATCCACTCCACGAGCCTCAAAGCCTAGCGTAGCGTCAGAAATGTGGCCAGCCCGCGAGCAGACATGCAGAATTGAGTCAATTTCCCCCAAAATCCAATCGAAAAGCGCGGAGCAGAGACCGGATGCCTTCTGCTACTGGTCACGGTGCACGTCCCTCAAAGATGAAATGAAACCCTGCGGAACTCCGGATCCTGGTGTAGCAGACCCCTGCGCAACTCCGTGATCCTGGTGCAGCAGATAGTCTTGGCGTTAATAGCATGGAATTGGTCTCGTGCTAGTCACTACTATAGCACTAGCCGACAGTCATCCAGGGTCCACCCCGTGTGTTCGAGTCCAAGCCCGGCTAAGCACTACCAAGCACTAGCCAAGCACTAGCCAAGCCCCAATCCGCTAAAAATGACGGCCTCACTTTAGTTCAGGCCAAGGGTCCGATTCTGCATGCATGCAATTCGCCTCCTCAGAGATGGTTCGCTTTCTTTGGACGGACTTCCCGACTATCGATAGGAAGGAAATTGTTGTGTATCTTGCAAATTGGCACAGAGAGTGCTTCCCAACGTTCGGGATAGGAGGGAAGCACCTACGATTCCGATCTATCCGGATGGACCGGTACGCCTGACCTGTCTCAACCAAAATGGCACATGGCTGCACAATCAGGAGGCGAATGGAGCTTCAGTATCCTGTCTGGCTGAGCGCAGCCATAGATCCTCGGGTTGCTGTCAGCCCCCCTTTAGGACTTATCCGTCGGGTTGTTTCTCGCTCTCCACGCTCCTGCAATCTCTTTCCCTCCTGTTCTCTCTTCTCTCTCTTCCTATAGCATCGTCGCTCTCTGTCACTCGCTTGCCCTGGGATGTTTCTTGGGAAGTCACTCCTTCTTGCTGTTTTTCTCAGTCTCGCTCCTTAGGCAGTCACTCGTTATCTCATTTTCTTTTGTTATTGCTTTCGTTGGTCAGAGGACAATACACGCCCACTTTGCTCGCTCGTGCTCCGCGTATGCGCCAGACAAGATGAAGGCATTTGACCTGCTTCTCCTCGGGTGCTCGGTCTTGTTGACCGGGGTGCTGGCCAACAACGAGGCGGCGCCCTACGAGCTGCTGCACTACTACTACGTCTACAAACTGGAATGGGACACGGGGGTGACCAAGACCATCGCGCCGGGCTGTGCCACCAGGTACGGACACATGTGCTATTTCGACGAGTTCGCCAAGTACCTGATGGACTCGAACTGGCGCGCGGCGTACCGGCCGACCGCGGCGGACCACACCAAGACCCCAGGCACGGGGGCCGTGACCCGGCTGTCGAGCGGCATCCCCCATTCTGCGCGGTACCAGCTGAGCCTACTATTGCCGCACATCACTGTCGACGCGCGATCCTTCCCCCTCGTCTTCGAGACGGTCCTCAACGCCGCCGACACCGCCATCGCCGCGGACGGCGTGAGCAAGGACGACCTGGAACAAGCGGTGGCCATGGCCCAGCAGGTCAAGGCGGCGCGCACGCCCCCTGTCTTCGAGATCCAGGAGGCGGCGTTCAAAGCCCGTCTCGGGGAGGCGACGTTTGATGACTGGGTCCAGGTCACCGCGAACGGGTTCAAGTGGCCCGAGACCTTGGCCGGGATCGACAGCGCCATCCAAGAGGGTGAACTCACGGCCGAGGAGGGCGCGACCCTGAAAGAAAACATTCGCTCCTTCTCGTTGACCTACGAGCATGATATTCTCGCCGGGGAGGTCTCGGACCACAATCACTTGAATATCGTCAAGGCGCTGGCAACCTCCATCACCAGTCTGACCCGCGCCATCGAGGACAAGTTTCCGACGAGTGATGACGCGTCGTCGCGGGCGTGGCCGTCGAGCGAGTGTGAGAGCGAGTTTAGCTCCTCCAGCTCGTCCTCCGAGTCGGACTGAAGGTCATACCCATGGGTTTTGCTCGGGCGAGGTCAGAGGTCAAAGAACATGTCCCGGGAGTCGGGCACATTCTCGTTATGTGCCTGCTGGGCGCTTCGGTAGTTATCAAGGCTAGCTTAGACAAGATCTTTCGGATGTGATCTTGGAAGTTTGAATTCTATGTACATGTAAATGTTGCTGGTGCCGAGTTCTAGATTTATGCTTGTTAGCCAACATTCTCCTCTTTGGCTCCCGCCAGACCTTCTAGGGCCTCCAATGATAATGCGTACTTTCAACAGTTGAAGTATGGATGATCGACCCTATCCATCCTGACCAGGTTATTCCAGCGATGCTCTTTCCAAAACGCGTGGCGGTGCCGTCGCGCTTCCGGCAACCCCATAGGCCAGCTGCCGGTGTGTTGCAGGATCTTGTCAATGATCTCCTGGGGGAGTCGGGCAGCAGCGCGCAGGGTCTCCCCGGCCGCTTGTGCCCACCAGTGATGCTGCGGCGGCGGCACATTACGGGTGGAGCAGATGCGATAGTGCGGGTCAACCAGATGCAATGTGATGGTACGATAATGCCCCGGGCGGCTGGAATCGGCCAGGGAGAAGGGCTCGGCGCGGTGCTCGAGAAGGTTGGGAAATGCGATCACACGCCCTTGCGAGAGCGAAACTGCACCTTTATCCTGCCATGTCCTTGCTGTGTGGTTATCGGCATCGAGGTCGAAGCTTGAAAATCCTAAGATCTGTGCTAGTTCATTCAAATCCGAGTGGGGGTTTTTCCCACATCTCCGGGCCGGCAGCAATCGGGGATGCCACGGCCACTTTCGCCCTTGCTCTTTGTACTCCCTATATCGATAGAAGCTTTCATCTAGCTTCGTGTTCTGGCGGAAAGCGATTCGGGGTTCAGTGATATTGTCGATATCGTATGCAAACACGGCAACAGCCACGATGTGCTCGTTGAGCTGGCCTTCCATGTGCCAGTCCGTTCCTTTGTAGTCCCGACTGTCCGGGGTAAGCTCGATGTTCTCCATGTTTACAATGATTTGGAGTCCCTGCAAACGGAAAGTGTCCTGGAGCCGAATTGTGTAAGGTTTGTGGGGCGGCGTAACTGGCTCGTAGGAAGTATTGTGCCAGTCCTTCCTCTCGCGGACCAGATCCACCACAGCTCTCTCGTTGTGGCGCGCCGTCTTCCACTCTTCGTAAGAAAACGCGGTCCCTGGCTCTGGGTGACAGAAACGCAGCCGCCGCTTGAGATGGCCTTGGATCTTCCCCCACGTGTCTTGCTGCCAGTCGTCCGGGGCAGAGACGGGAGTGTTAGACCCGTCCTCAGGGCGCTCGAGATAGTCCTTCGCGCGTTGCCAGAGGTCTGACTCGGGGGGCGGCAACTCCTTCTCTTCATTTTCCTCCACGTCGGGATAGCATTCCAGCCGTTCTTGCGCCTCTTGGTGTCTTTTGCGGCCCTCGTCCGTGTCATCGCCCGCACTGTCCAGAAGCGCTTCTCGCGCTTTGCGGTACATCCTCTTCCTGCCGGGCCCTGGGACCCGAAAGGCGAGCAGCCATTCGGGAAGCTCATTCTCCCATTCGACGCCATAGGTGATGATCCGGAGCGGGACCGGCCCCAGCTGGCCTTGGTTTAGGATATCCTTCCAGCCGCGCTGTCCCTGCACCAGACAACTGTTCCACAATGGAATCGCCCGGCTCACCAGCGTCTCAATTGCCCGGTAGAGGTGCTTGTGCATCGGGTGTAGATTGTTGATGTACGATGTGAGGCGCACCTGCGTTGACCCTGCCTCACCGATGAACTCCACTTCACACGGTAGAGCCTGATAATTCGCGCTCCACCGATAGTGAGGCGCTGTTTCATCATCGGCATGCACAGTCCGGGCCTCCTCAATCTGCCTCTGAACCGCCGCCGCATCGGTCCGCTTATCCACATGCGCAGGCGCAAGGGTGGTCGCTCCCTGGTACGCGCCCAACACATCCCCTATCTCCACTCGACCCCCATGCGCCAAGACCAAGCTCCGCCCATAGACCAGCGGAAACAAAGTCGGGTCGATGATGCTCAATCGATGCCGTGACCGCCAATCCACCATCCCGGATTGCATGAGTGCGCGGAGCACCGGTCTCACGGCGCCTCGGAACTCCCCGGCCAGCTCCCCCGGTCCTCGCGCAGGAACATAGTCAGACTTGCAAACACAGGACCCCGTATCTAGCACCCGGATATGTCCCTCGTGACGATATTCGACGGCCTTATCGCGCAGTTCCCGGACGCACCAGGCCCAGGCCCGATCACTCAGCAGTGGATTCATCGCGAGGGAGGCGATGCTGTCTTGTCGCCAGCGCGCCACGACCCCATCATCGAAGACGTCGACATGCCAGTTCGGGCGGTCGGTCAGACGGTTCATGGCGGCTGTCATGGCCAGCTCTCGCGCGGTGACGGCGGGCGCCTGTCGCCACTCTTGGATGCCGTGGGCAAAGCGCGCGTCGGATGGGAGCTCGTAGGCCAGAGGAATAGTGCCAAACCCGGGTACTTGGAGCGGGCCGTCGCCGCTGTTGTCGAAGGTGATAATGGTGGGTTGGTCATCTTTGTCGGTAGGTGGCGGTTGATCATCGTGCATGCTGGAGCAAGAGGGGGAGAAGGGTGTTCTGGTGATTGAGATGCAAAAAGATGAACCCGGGTGAGGGGGGGATGAAAATGTGAAGCCTCGCGCAGAGAGAGAGAGAGAGAGAGAGAATCTGAAGGGGGGATCCGACTGGTTTTATGTATTTGGTCAGGCAGGGTCGGCTAGCCCCTTTGGTGTTTAGTCTGGCATTCTATCGACCCTGATTGCTAGTATAGCTGATAAGACGGTTGAACCGAAAGCTGCACACAGATAGCCAGGTTAGTACTTGTACTTTGTAGTTTGCTGAGCAGAACTTGAATACATTTAGATTCCAGGTGGAACACTGCTCACCAAATATACAAAACAAGACCTCACTTGTTCAACGACGTAGCAGAGATAAATTCCCCGCACGTGCACTCGCTCTGGACCACACAGCTGACACGGGAATCAAATCAATTGAGGATCTTCATCTTTGCATTCTTGATCTTGAGATTCTTCTTGTGCCACTGACAGCCTGCCCTCTGCTTGATGTATAGGTGTTTGTCCTATGGTCTGTGCTCGCTCCATGTCGTCTGTAGCTGTTAAACCTTCCCCTCACCTCAATACTTAAGGGGGCCTGCCTGCCCATTTACTCACCTAGCCCATTCAGCGCTGCTCACCCACAAAGCAGCAGCAACTGAGAAAAGGCTCAGATTCCAGTCGGCCGCGTTCAATTTGGGGGCTTAAGTACGGCTGAGCGGACGGGAAGCCCTGTTTTACACACCCTGTGGTCGTATGTGCTTGACATATCTCCTACTTGGAAAAATACAGCAATAGCCTTAAAAGCATAAACTTTGTTAGTAAATGTTCCATCAATTTTTCGTAGTTCTACAGAAGGTTCCAATACATATTCCTGAGAAAATAGTACAATTACCTGGGAGGTTTTTGATAACTTATAGAAATACTTTGACTATACTCATATCATAGTATTCGGCCGAATCTTTGTCTCACAGGGCATCGGTCTTCTCCGAGCGTTTAGAGGCAGCAAACCGTATTCCGTGGGACGCTTATTTGAAAAACGATCCAACACCACCGGGGTCCTGACCGACTATTTCGGCATAGCGCATAGCATGAACGCTGAGAATCGGTTGAACAACCAAAGAGTTCTATGGCATTGTGTGAGCGTTTGCCACCCTTCCGGATCAAGCATGTACGTACGGGGGCAGTATCTCATGAGATCATGACTTCTTCCATTTTTCTGGCAGATTGCTCGAAATCGCCTAGCTTGCATCTGACAACCGTTCACATTGCTCTTGTGTAGCATCTCATTGGAGTGCGGGATTCGGGCTGTGGTGCATCCATGGAACGCAGTGATGCTCCCGCATCCACGATCCGAAGTATACCATCGATCGAGCCGCTGCCCGTCCTGCAAAGAGGAATCGGGGCTACTCGGACAAATTTTGTGGGCCTAGGCCCATATGTGCTGGGGAAGTTATTTGAATCTTTTCATCTTCAATTCAAGATGTGAAGAATTCAATGGATATGATTAATATAGAGGCACACTGCCGGTCACGCAACACCCCAACCGCTTAGCAGAGCATGCACAATGCAAGTGTTGGCCTTCTTGATATCGTTCACCGGTCTCGCAACAATCGCGGTGATTCTCCGGTTGTGGACTCGGCTGCGTCTGCGGAGTGCGGGGTGGGATGATTTGCTGATTGTGGTGGCTCTGGTAGGTGTTCCTCGAGGCTGTATACATCTCGGCCATGAACATCACCTCCATCTACCTCCCTAACATAACCATAGGCCGCCAACCTCGTCCTCCTCTCCTGCCGCGTTGTAGGCAAGTCTTCCACCTCACCTCCCCCTTAACCCTCTTACCTCAATCAACCTCATCCCTATAATCCCCAAGCTAACCCCTCCCCAGAAATCCGACACGGCCTCGGCCACCCCCGCGAAACCCTCACCCCAACCGCCTTCCAAACCCAACTCAAAGTCCGTCCCCCTCCTCTCCCCAGGCCCTTCTCAAATAAATAAACAACCCCCCTAACCAGAAAAGGCCCTCTACCTCTCCCTCCCATTCTACCACCTCACCCTCCTCACCAGCAAACTCTCCGCTCTAGCCCTCTACACGCGCCTCTTCCGGCTGCGCCGCGTCCTCCTCACGAGCTACAGCCTCGCCATCCTCCTCACCGTCGCGGGGATATGGATCATCCCCAGCGCATTCCTCTTCTGCCTGCCCGTGCACGACTTCTGGTCTTTGGAGCAGGATGCCGGGCAGCACTGCCTGCCCAAAAAGGCCGTGTGGGTGAGCAACGGCGCCATCCAGATCGCGACGCACGTGGTCGTGCTGGCGATCCCGCTGGTCGTGATCCCGACGCTGACGCTGCGGCGGCGGGTGAAGGGGGGGTTGTTCTTGTTGTTTGGGGTGGGGTTGGTGTATGTTCTGTCCCTCTTTACCTTCTGTTTTCTTGATTCGGGATGGCGGGGGATGGATTGGATGTGGTGCTCATGCTGATGTTGTGCTGACGTTGAGATAGAGTGGTAGTCATCAGTATCATCCAGCTAGTGACGGTGATTGAGATTCTGACGAGAGGGGGGGATTTAACGCGTATGTTGCCTACCCTACCCTACCCTACCTGCCTGCCCCAACCTATTCTACCCTATCCTACCTGCCCTATCCTACCCTACCTGCCCTATCCTACCCTAACCAACTCCACGCATCACCATCACCATCACCATCACCATCACCATCAACGCAACCCAGCCCAAAACACCACTAACCCCAACCCCCCGGGTGTTCTGCCGGGGGGCCACAGACAAATCCCGCACCACCGCCCTCCTCGCCAGCACCGAGGCCAGCGCCTCCATCATCTGCGCCTGCATGCCCCCGCTCTACCCGCTCTTCAGCCGGGCGTGTTCGCGCTGTGCGCCCATCATCGACAACATCTATCATTGGGCAGGAGGGAAAGGCGTCGCACGGCCGCATCACCCACACCTCCAGACGGTGAGTATCCATCTGACGCGGCCGGTGGTGACCGACAACCCGATCTTCTTTGATGGGTTCCGCGTCGGGGGTGGGAGTTATTCGGCTAGTGTGGAGGTCATGGTTCCCTCTGGCGGTTTGGAGGATGGAGAGGGGAGGGGGGAGCGGGGGGTTTCGGTGTTGAGGACTGTTGATGTCAACTATAATTTTGAGAGGGGAGGGGTTGGGGATGTTCTGGGGGATAGGGATACGGATAGGGGTTGGGGGGTGGATTTGGCGGACTTGGGGGAGAAGGGGGAGGGGTATGGGCATGGCGGGAAGGTGGTAAGTTTTGAGGAGTGAAATGTACTGTACAGTGCATTGTACATTGTCCTAGGGGGTGGTGTGTGTGGGGGGGGGATACTGCTGGATCTAGAATTCTTGCTTATCTATATACATTTAGAGATCTTCATGCTGGGCGATTAGCTGTGATCAGACATTCCTGAGTCGATCTAATGATTTTTGCATGAGGCGGTCATCCTATGTGCGTTGTGTCCAATTCCGCACTGTATACATACTTCATACATACTTCAACTAAGCAAAATCAAAACGTTGAATAGTTTGATGTATTTCCCACATATGCCTCTCCCAAACCCCCAGGGGGGCCGATACCCCCAACGAAATAGGCCGATTAGACTTTGGGCTTCCAGCCGTGCACGGTGACGAGGTGTGGCCCGAATATAGTCTTTATATTCAGTATTGCCCACTCTTGCGTATTCGATCAGCTTGGCGGGCAATTATTGTACAGCCGTGGACCTTCCAACACACCACTGCTTACTCCAAGCTCCGCGCGCCTCAGCCTCGACAGATGAAGCCTATCTAGCCCAGACCATTTCCATCCTGGGCTATCCCCCTGACTTGCTTGGCCGAGGACGAGAAAGTGATCAGTGATTCGATGAGGGGTATGTTACCTGTTTTTCGCCAGCTTAAAACGCAACTCCTGACCAACTGGCATGATAGGACCATTCCGATTCCCCGAACTCATCGGCGGGAAAGAAGAAACGGTCCTAGTCTCCATCGCAGAAGAGACCGATAAAGAGGAGGGAACTCCCGATAGGCTTTGTTCTAGAATGCTGTGCTGGAACCCGGAGCACTGGTATACGGCGGTGGACCTGCTTTCGAACCCAGGGCTCCCGCACATGGGACCTGCGACCACCTAAGAAGCGAGTATTACCTGTATAGCCTATCAGAGATATCTCTTACTCACTCATGGGCTCTGGTGGGTCGAGCTATTACGGTTCTTTGCGCCCCACGATCCGGTAAATCGAACGGCCACGCGCGGGAGAGCTCCAGCTCTTTTTTATCGTTGCGCGCATGCGCCCGCACAAAGTCGTCTCTCGCCTTGGGGAGAATGCGGTCGAGCTCCGCGAATTGCGCATGGCTCACCAAGCCCCGGGCCTGGAAATACTGGCTGCCGATCATGCGCTGCACGTCTCCCATCAGCGCCATTGCTGCCGAAGCGCCTGCGCTATCGGATCGGATCTTCCGGAGAACATCGTTCGAGAACGTAAGCGGTGCCTTGGTTCCGCCAGTCCCCGATATCCTCGACACACCAGCCCAATTCTCCTCTTGCTGCTTGGCGAGGAGCCCGAGGTAGGTCGCCTCGCCGTCGACCAGAAAGTTCCGTGCCAACAGAAGGAGGTCGAAGCAGTCTGTCTGCCGGAACTCGACCGCCTTGAACGACCGGGGCATCGTTTTGTGCAGGAGGTATCTGTAAAGGGCGAGCAGAGACATGCTAGTAAATAAGGCCTCCGCTTTGCGGGCTGCGACTACTTGGTCGTATTCGTCCTGGAACAGCGCTTTGACGTCGGCGAGCTTCGGTCGGTCGAGGAGGCCGTCGAGTGGTGGGCCATTGTAGTCTAGGATATACGGTTCGATGGTGTGATGGTAGAGCGGGGCGAGTTCTGTAGATTGCCAATCAACGAAGGCACATATCTCTGACGGATCCTCTGGATTGACAAAGACATTCTCGACATGCAAGTCGTCATGCCAGATGCAGGACGCTGATATCCCCTCGTCCTCGGGTAGTAAGTACTCCACCAGTTTGAGGTAGCTCTCGATCGCGAAAAGCTTTGTCTCGCGCGACGGCTGGTACGTCCCCGAGTAGTGAATCGCAATGGGTGATCGTGGCAGTTGCTCCATGCGTCTAATACAATAAGCTTCGCGCTCTCCGATGGCCCGTTCATAATCGTCTACGGTATCCCAGGGGCCGCGGTCAAATCCCAACGCTGCCCTGCCATCATCGACATTCTGCCGACTCACCGAAGGCCCAACAGCGAACCTCTCATCGACGGCGCGGTTCCCATCTTTATCCGTGTACTGGAGACTGGGAACTGACCTATCGAGGTCACTTCGGTAGTACAGGCTCCCATACTGCGCAAAGCGAACCTGGGACCAGATCTGCTGGTAGGCGGCAACCCTTTCCAACACCTTAAATTTAACCGACACGCCAAGTTGATCCCACAGGCTACTCAGCGGTACGCCGCATGCATACTCCATGAGGATGTACTCCGCCGCCACCGGATTGTCAGTCGAAGAACTCCACGCCAGAACTTTGGGCACCGGCGTACCGAGGACGTTCCTCATCTATCTCTTATGTCAACACTCGCGTACAATAGCCACGAAAAGGAAAGGAAGATATGCATACGAAGTCCACCGTCGCGACCTCCGAGGCAGTGGTGAGGTGCGGAAGCCCAGCATTCGGGTTCGGAACTTTGCCCACTGCCTGAAACCCATTGTCCATGGTGAAGCGTATAGCCTTGTTGTGCATCCCGTCGGCCATTTTTTCAATGCCGATACACGTCCGCGGCCCATCATCGCTGGCAACCTCGGCCGCCCGAATAGCTAGGCAGGCGAGCTCATTCACGTCATAACGGATGTGTCTCTGGCCTAATTCACTGGCCTCGTCGGTGAGGAATCGGCCGCGGGTGAACTGAAAAAGGGTTTCATCAGGTGCTGTCCGCTCGCACGGGGAGGGGGGTTTGGTCGCTGTCAGCTGCCGCCGGGCTGGGGCGCTCAGCATCAGTCGGGCGGGGCGGGACTGGATTCGAAAAGGTAGACTGGGTGAGCATGAGTGTGAGCGGAGCGCAAGCTCGCGAGCCAGCGGTAGGTTAATACGTACTAGAGCATCTCCAGTCCGCCAGCGACGGCCGCATGAAGAGCCGGTAGGGTGAATGCGGAGACTGGGGTAGGGATGGTCGAGAAGTTGGGGGGATTGGGGTGAAGGAGGAGCAATAGAAAACACAGTAGAGCGGTGAGAGGTTACTAGGATGTTAGACAGCATTCCGGAAGTTTGACCCTGGTTGCTGCCACTGCTATCATGATTAGATCCCTAGAAAAAGTGAATCATTGCTTCTATGGCTCTGGGGTTGTTGTCCTCATGTCGTATATTGTTTATCTGTTACTTCCTCATGGGTTCGAATATGGCTCAGGCCCCCTCTGTAAGAGCGTTATAAGCCTTACTTACTTTTCAGTTGTGGTTGAAAAGTTGAGGGGTCATCGTAGTAGTTATGAATTATACAAAATTACTTCTTATTCTACTACTATTCTTCTCTCAATATATATATACCAGGTGGTGGCATCAGAAGGTTAAATAGCTTCAAGTTCATATTCTTACTGCTATAGTGTGAAAACTTCTATTGCCAATACATCTCAGCTGTCCAGCTTAGGCTATCTGCATCATAACAGAACCGTTGTTCAATTGCTATTTACTTCGTTGTACACACATCAGCAACGTCCAAGGCATTCATGATAGCGGACTGATAGCTAGGGCTCTTACCCGCCTGCGGACAGCTGAGCGTAAAACTAAAACCCCCACCTTCATCCCCATATCATTCCCCCCCCCCCCCCCCCCCACAACCACCATGCTTAAATTGCCCTTTCTCCCCTCCGATTCTCCGAACGAGGCTACGAGACAAAACGGCGGCTCTGTTCTGAACTCCGAACCATATCGGGGAAGATCTACGACTGACCAGCCAGTTGAACCTGCATTGCTATGAACGCCGTCAAGTATCTCCTCTTCCCGACCGGGTATAGCTAACCAACCTTTTTTTTTCCTTTGGAATTTTCCCGATACATCCAATTTAGCATCCACTGATTTTACATAATTACCACCTCAAATACCAGTCTTTTGGTTAATCATAAACAATCTGGCTAAATATCCGGATGGTGGTCGGAGAAAATAGAATAGTGTGCTGTGCCCCCGGGGATGGATATCCGGAAGGTGCAGCTAGGCTTGGACCATGTTCGTTTGGTCGAGACACCGGAAAACTCAGTTGGCTAGAAGTTAGCTAACTTAGTAGCTAGCTAACCAGCCAGCTAGCCAGCCAGCTACTGCGTCATGTCTCGTTAATCCTCAATAATTGATTGTCACTGGATCAATTAATCAAAGTGGCTGACAGCCCATCTGGTCTGGCACATGGCCACATACCGGCTATTGACACTAACCTGTGCTTGGCGGCTGGCGCTCTCCCCTGAGTGGGGTTGGCGCCCACGCGTGGCGTCCACACAATGGAAAAATCGGACTGGCGCCGGAATCACTGATAGGACTGATCGTATAGAAATTTGGAGATGATTGGTTCAGCTGCTAGCAGGATAATGAATAACAGGCGCTTAGACGAAGAAAGCGAGGGGAGCTCGTTATGGTATCGGATAGGCTCGTCGTAGGTTTTTTTTATTTTTTGGTTTTGGCTCAGCCTGAGCGCTCAATCCTGGCGCGTACTTTGGATAGATAGGGGTGGAGAAAACCAGAAGGAAAGGGAAAGCAGAGTATCGAAGCTGTCCTGTGGTTTGTTTCTAAGGTTAGATGAATTTCGAGTTTCCGAACAGATCGGAGCCGATAGCTCTCCAGGACAGAATGAGAGGAAACGTTCTGAATCAGAAACCGGGAATGGAAAGTTAAAACCCCACGAGGGCAACAAGGAGGCTGGCTTTAATTTCAACCAACCCAGAAAGTAGCAGGGCAACATCATGCCATGGTTCGTGATGACAGTTCATGGTGTTGGTGTTGGCGATGTTGTAGTAGTTGTTGTTGTTGCTTGCTGCTGATGTTGCTACTGTTGATGATGACTTGCTTACCTCCCAACCCGACCATCCCAGTCCAAGCCAACCAAACCCCCTACTCCCCCCTCCCACCCCCCTGGTAACCCTACTAGTACATACTCCATACGTAGTAGTACTGTACACTACCCAGGGGGACAACCATGTGGCATGACGGCTACTACCCACCACGACGGCACTCATTTCGGCCGCATGCGGCATCCTAGGCAGGATCATTAAAAGTGCCACAGCACGTGGAGATGGCCTTTAAGGCCGATCGACAGACAGATCCCGGACTAGTCGCGCCGTCGAGTAGCATTCTAGTCGGGTGTTGCGCAGGTTCGTTTCTTTGTTCCGCCTGAGATTCTGTAACGGTACTACACAGGCCTGGCCTCCGCGAACTCTCAAACCTGTTGTTGGTTGGCTCTTGGGCCTCTTGGGCCTCTTGGGCCTCGCGGGCGTGCCAGCCAGAGACGGGGAAAGGAGCGACTCAGACAAGCGCGTGCACCAGCCGAGACGCCTTGGTGCCTAAGGATTGCCGAAGCGCTGGACTGTGCACAGTTACGCACCACCCACCACGAGGCAATCAGACACGGTGGAAACGCCTTTTCAAGATGCACAGCGCTTCGGATGGATGCCGCCGAGCAACGGCCCCATTTAGTTCCTTCCAAAGTCGATGTAATGTTTCTCGGTCAATTTGTCAAGTCACAAGTGCCAACCAAAGGACACGACAAACACCTGACACTCAGACAACATCATTGGCATGACCCCTAGTTGGTGGAGTTCAGCTCAGCTTAGTTGCAATTTGGCGCTGTCCGTAAACGAATAGGGGTACGGTACGTAGAAAGTAGAAACGGACGAAATTGGTCGCAATCAAGATCAGTCAATCCTCATTGCCATCCTCATCATCCTCATTCTGATTGTCAATCACCGCCCCGTGACATGTCGCTCTGGAACGGGACGACAGAGGGGGCCATTTAATTTGGGGATGTCTCTCATTTCCGTACTTTGCGCTCGCTAAGCGTCTATCTCGCCTCGACTATTCAACACTTCGGCCCAAATGCGGGCGGAAGGGTGGATCGCAGGCAGTGCAAGGGGTGGGATTATTATTATTGCCATCGTCATTGGAATTAATTGATGAAGGGGGGGATGTTGGTTCCGATCGGAATACGAGGATGGTGGGTAAGTTAGGAAGTGAGGTGTGGTTCTTCGCCTCGATTACGGAGCGTCCTCCCTGTTGACAGCAGGCGTTGTTTTGGAGGTTCTTGATCCTGGCCGATCATTGCCGTGGCGGTCAACAACCTCCCACACAATCACGAATCACGGGATCGGACCATCGGGCCCTTGCCATGCTCCGGACATGGTATCATTTCCTGATTGGTAATGGTGGATGCGATCATAACTGGAATGGAGCATTTCCATCTTTCATCTTTCATCTTTCATCTGCTCCTCTGGCTCCTCCCCTCCCCACCCGTCGGCGGCTCTGACCGTCCGTCCGTAGTCTGGCCTGAGGCGTTCCCAATCTGGTCAATTAGACTACCTTCAATCCAGTGAGCTCCCTACCTAGTACCTTACCTTACCACGTATACTCCGAACTCCGTACTGGGTATACTTTGCGAGCACTTTTTATGTCACGAAGAGTACGAACTCCGTGATGCGGTCACTGTCCAAGGCAGAACGATGTCATGATTCATGATCCGGGAATCCTTCGGATGTGACAGCTCCGCCAAAAGGAACACCAAGGCTTTTCTCCGCCTCAGGCGTCATCGCAGAGAGGGGGAACAAAAAAGTCAAGAAAGTGATGCGGAAGCGAAGCCTCCAACGGTTGCGAGATCACCCCTCGTGGACAAAAGTGCAGGGTATGCAAGCCTGCGAGGCCCATGTGTCGTCACTTGTCGTGGAATCGGACGATCCTCCACGCGCGAATGCTGTCCGTCAGCATTAGGAAATTCTAGAAGGACTGTACACGAGTACTGCATGGATGTATCTTTGTGGACAAGCTAGAGCAGAGCTTGAAGCAGAGTCCGAGCAATATTACGCACATACTCCGGACGATGTGCGATGAAACTACTAGGTAGCTGCTGCCTTAGCCTGTCAGCTCCGTACCGTACAGTCAGTATCTTCCCGACAGCCGTGTCGAAAATCACCGAAAAGTGGACTTCTGGCCTGGCGTGCGGACTCTGAGTATTAGGCTAGCAGGGGGGGAAGAGTCTTGTCATGATGTGATGTCTTCAAGCTGAAGAACAATCCAGAAAAAAGGACCAAGAAGACCCTTGGTTGGAAAATCCATACTCAATCAATCGACTCATCAAGGGAGAAAAAGCAACGACCGAACAAAACCCCAAGGGCGGTCCCAAATCTGGCAAGAGTCGAGTTCCGTAGCGTGGCTGGCGGCCGCTAATGTCGTGGGGGCCAAAAACCGGCCGAAGCAGCAGAAATTGGGGATTAAAAAAAAAAAAAAAAAGAAAGAACAGAAAAAGCAAAGAAGGAAGGAAAGAAGAAAAGAAAGAGTGCTGAGTCTGAGGTCTGAGGCAACCAACCCGAGGACTGCACAAATCAGTCCCAGTACAATAATATTGATCGATAAGTCATTGATAGATGAAGTGTTTCCGTGGGTGATGTGAGCATAGTGAGCGGGGACAACTCTATTATACTTCTAGTATGGATTTTGGATTCACATATCGCAGGTTCCATGGGAAGGTACGGAGTACGGAGCACAGTAAACTCGTACAACGAGGCAAGCAGGCAACTTAGCAGGCACAACTTACTCGATGAAACATTGATCGATCGAACGAGCCAATTGAGTACCGGCCGGAACAAGTTGAGGGTATGGATCCCCCTTGCGGTTTCCCAGCTGTCCTGGGCCCCTCCAGTCGCCCTAAACTGCCATCCATGCATAGCTCGACCCCCGGAAAGGATGGATTTTAACCGCTCATTGCTTATCGCCATGTGGTTTTTTGCATCTAACCAGGGCCATGCCTTTTTGTGTTATCATGACGATCGCGCGGGCTCCACGTTGAACATGGCAGGCAGCGTTATCGTTCGCTGCTTGTGTAAAAACCCACTCACCAGCGGTGGGTGACTAGCCTTGTAGACTCTAGCCTTGGGATGCCCCAGTTTGACGCTGCGAAGCCCCACCTGGGATGGCCAAATCGGGGAATTGGGTTATCCTGCTGCGCGGTTCCGGCCCCCAAAAACCCATTCGGGTTGCAAAACGAAGCGCTGTTAGACAATTGGAAGTTTGAACTTTCACCCAATTGCCCCTCTTCCTTCACTGCTACTATCTACATGCGTACTGTACGAGGTATAGTACTAGGTCTAGTACGAGGTCTAGTACTGCGTAGATACTTCTCTGCTTCGTACTCAATTCTCACTATCCCCTTGGGCCCCCTTCCCCAACAATACAGTGGAGGATGTAATAACTTAATCATGTTCCATTATTTACTACATTGCGACAAACCAGTGAGACGGCACACCAGAGGAAGCAACCCTTGTTAGCGGGAATGTCAAACAATCTATTTTCCCAAGGGGGCTGCGTCGGTATCGCGATTGATATTCGATCCTGCCAATTTCTCCCCCAGTGCGAGTCGATATTGGCTGGAGTGGGTGGTGAGTGAGGAGCTAGTTTCCAGCCGGACTGTTCACTATAGGACGACTATAGTTACGACTAACTAGGAGCTTGTTTCTAGTTTCTAGACGTTCGAGGAGGCTCTCAGGCCAGGCTCCCGCGGCCTTGGGAGATTTCCCCGAGCATCGACTACTAGTTACCCCTGTCCGAGCTCCAGCCTGACTTGCCCAGTGTTGGTATGGAAGGAAGATCAGACAAGTAGTAGCGGATGACTGATGTCAATTGGTCTCTTTCGTTTTGACTTTGACTTTCCTAGAGTTCCTATGCCCCCTTCCCCCTCCCCCCCTCCCCCTTCCCTCCCCTCCCGTCATCTCGGGTGGAGTCAGACGAACGGCAAGTGGCTTCCAAGGATCAGGCTGATGCGATTGAGCTACTTGTACGTTGGGACCTTCCGACCTTCACGTGGCGAGGGTTCGAGACTATTCCTCTTCCAGCCTCCTGACTCAGAATCCATTGAAGGTCAGAGCCGGGGCAAACCAAAGGGAAATGGCCTATGATGAAACGAACATTTCAACAGTCAAGTGGGTAGACCCGTGAGAGAGCGCAATTGAATTACATTCGTTGCCATTCATTGTCTTTGCGAGAGGGGAGTTGTCTGTCAAGCGCCGCCGCACTGCACTGTCCAAGTGGGCTGGCTCCTCAAACCTAACCCCCTCTCTCTGTCTCTCTTTCTCTCTCTCTCTCTCTCTCTCTCTCTCTCTCTCTCACACACACACATTCATCAAGCAATCCACCGATCCATTTATCTACTACTTTCTACCCTTCCCACCCACAGCCCCGGCCGAACAATGGCCGCTAACTACGCGACCGATGGAGACGCAAAGCCACCAGGGGTCGCAAGATCCATCTCTGTCAATGTTGGTTCTCTGGGTTCTGGATTCATTCAGGAGGAAGAAGATCGTGTCTCATCCACAGCCGTGGCAGTGAAAAAAATAGATCGACCATCTATCATGGGGACTTGGATTCCCCCAACCTTGTTAGACGGATGAAAATCATAGGAACGAAACGTCCAAATTACCAAAATTACACTTAAATAAAAGAGAGACCAAAAATAAAAAATCACAGACGCCAAAAAAAAAAAAAAAGTGCCGTAGCTCCATCGAGAAGAAGCACGCGAATTGCGCGCAGGGTCAGGAAAAATCCGACAGAAATAATCATCATCATCATAATAATAACAACAACAATAATAATAATAATCATGATGAACGAAGGACGATAATTACCCTCAATAACCATTGCTTGACGACAGTAAAATACATACAACCCACATACGCCCATACACCCATACGCATACCCGCCCACCACAAGCTGTCAAACTGGACCAGACCAGAGACGAACCACCCAGTACACCCAGTACCCAATACCCAAAAACCCGAAGAGTCTTCTTCTTCGGCCCCCGTTCGTTACGCTTATTCTGGACGGATTTGGCTGCTCCATCAGCAGACCGTTAAATACTCTTGTCTGACCGGTTCCATGGAATGGACTCAACTCAAGAGATCAGTTTATCTTTCCCTTCTGCTGTCTGTTGATCTATTGATCTATCGATCTATCTGTCTATCTATCTGTTTACAATCTCATCTTTCTGTCTGACTGTCTACCTCTCTACCTGTCCATCTGTCCGTCGTGTCTGTCTCTCAACTACCTAGTAGTAGTTTTTGGATGGTCTTACTACCCGTCCCGTCACCTCGTTTTCGGTGGATATAGATTGCGCTGTTGATTCCGAGAAGGATTCCCGTCCGTGGGTGCTAAGACTACTACTTTCCCACCACCAACCAAACTGTATGTCCCATCATCACCAGCAGTGCTTCGGGCTTGTTCCAGTCGACTATTCGTTCTTCTTCTTCTTCTTCTTCTTCTTCTTCTTCTTCTTCTTCTTCTTCTTCTTCTTCTTCTTCTTCCTCCTCCTCCACTCCCATTTCTATTATCCGTCACCCGGCGCCTGCCTCTGAATCATCTTACTTTCCTACTCACAGTCCTGTTTTCTCTTTCTTGCTTCATCCCCGGTGAACACCCACTGTGCCTTGATTATCTACTTGTCTCTTCTTCTACCTCTTCTGCCTCTCCTGCCTCTCCTGTCTTTCTGTCTTTTAGCATCGGATCCACGCAAATCTTCAATGCTCTCGAAGGGGATCCACCACTCACCAGGATATCCTCATTTCTATTACAGGCAGCTCAGTGGCTCTTGCGCACGCCGCTGGAATCTCCCGTCATCCTCATCACCATCGTCTCCGTCCGATCTAGCCAAACTGGACGATTTTCGCCGGCCTAGGTCCGTAGCGCCTCAGAGTACAGCAGCTCCCACACCCGCCATTTCAGCTTGGTCTGCTGGTATCCCACACCCTGGCTCCGCGTACAACGCTCCTGGAAGCCTGAGATCGAGCATCAGCACAAACGAGGGACAGCACAATCTGCCCGTGTTGCACACCATTCCTAGCATCGGCAGAACGCCATTCCCGTCCGAGCTGGTCCCGCCCGACAGTGAGCCGAGGGGACTCCCTGCAACCGGACTACTGCGCAGCAGAAACCCCGAACAAGCCAGTTTTGACACTCCACGGTACGTTGGGCATTTGACCATCTTTAACCCCGATGGAAGCGATTACTAAACACCAAGTCTTACCAGAGCCTTGCGAGACTCATCACAATCGATGCATCCCGGATCAGTAGCCTATCTGACTTCAAACATGGCACATAATTCACAGAGTAGGCCGGAGCACCGACTCCATGGTCTCCCGAGCTCTTGACTGACGAGAGACAGACTATGGCTGGCAAAATCGGCTGCCTCAGCCTCTTCATCCCTCCTCTATGTCAATGGACCAGCATCCATTTCCCCCAGCCCAAGTTCTTCCGCCACATCCCGGTTATTCAGCTGGCTATCCCCCGCAGCCTTCCGGTTCTCAGGGTTATTATCAACCAGGGCTTCCTTCCGCACAATATCTGATGCCACAGAGCCGGCAACAACCTCGAAGGTACTGCTCCTACAGTTGAGGTTCAGATCAAAACCCAGGAAAGAAACTAATTCCATGGCTTTCACAGTACCTCTATGCCATATTCATATCCCAGCAGTTCCGTCTCGGGCAGCCCGCCATCGATTCCAGATCCAGCATTCGCTCCAGCGTAAGCACACCTTACACTTCCCTGGAGCATCTTGATGCTAACCCGACATCAGGCCATCGTCCTACCTTGCAAATCAACCGGACTACTACATGGCACCGAGCTCTTCACTATCGTAAGTGATTTGTTATTATTCGACACTGATCAAGGTCCCACCTAACATGACAACCAAGCAGACAAACCCCTAACTCGATACCACACCCCCAAGGTCTTATGCCTACAGGGACAGTTTACTCGTCGCCTGAGTCCGCGCAAAACTCTTCGGATCCGGAACAACAAGTTCGTGTTATCAGCTTTCGACCAAAGCCGCAGTGCTGGGACCACGGATGCAACGGCCGCGAATTCTCCACATTTAGCAACCTCCTACGCCACCAGAGAGAGAAATCGGGCGTTGTGGCGAAGGCAGAATGTCCCAGCTGCGGTGCCGTCTTTACTCGGACCACAGCCCGAAACATCCACGTCGCTCAGGGGAAGTGTAAGGGCATTGCACGTGAGCCGTCGGCTGAGTGAAGTCTTGGGGCGCCTTTTTCTTACCATTCTTACCACGCGCCAAAAAAAAAAAGCATACAGCAGACCCTTTTCTTAGACCACGATTACAAGGACCTGTCCTCAAAGCACAGATCTACAGTTGTCGAAGGCACAGCCGCAGGAAAGCTGTCGTCAATTACACACCAGATCACTCTACGCGAGATCACGGGTGTAGCTCGGCCAAGGCACCTGCCAATACGATATCTGGCTGGGCGAATGACCCAAGCCAGTCTGGGCGTGAGGGGTACGCTGGATCTACCAATAGACACATCCAGGAGTGTCCATTCTTTGCATAATACATTCTGGGAGCGATTATTTCTTGCATTGTTCTGCTTTTCATTTATCGTGGTTTAATACCCTATGAGATTGTTCTTGTTTGTGTTACTGTGATACACCATTTATATTTCCGGCAGTACCTTGAACTGCCAACTTACTTAAGCGACTTCGCGATGTCTTCTAAACCGGATACCTGTTGCTAGATTTGGATCGGACAGCGATGCACATCAAATACCTCTAGAACGTTACTACTTCACCCTTCCCAACAATCGTCAACCTCTGTCAGCACCGTGTCTCACTTCATATTGATCTTCCATGTGGATACGAAATCGGGGACTCATGGTACTGCTGACTGTTGGCAAGCCAAATGCATACCTCGTGTAAGGGGGCAGTATGAAACGACACGCTGCTAAATTTATGACCTGTATGACCAAAGAATACCACAGCATCGCCGATCAAGTTGACGACAGTCGAACTGGGATAAGCACTAATGTAGTCGGGCTTTCTTGGATCGAAGACTATTGATTATTGATATTTGCTATGTTTACCTGAAACAAACAGAGAAGCGACTACGGGCATAGCTACATTAGTTTCTAGTCTAGTAGCCCCTGGCAGTCCAACCATGTGAGTTTGTTGGCGTTGAGGCTAGCAGGGGGAGGGGGATGTGGATGTGGGCCTGAGGCATTAAGGTTGACACGTGGCTGTCTTCTTCGTCTTTTCTTCTTCACCAACGTCACCTGATCAAGTCGATGTCGTAAGGGGACCGCGGCTCTTCCGATGCCTGAATTCCCAGGACGCATGACTCACTCACTCACTCCCACTTCACTTCCCACTTCACTCACTCGCTTCGAAGATGGTCCGTCTCCCTTGATCAGCCCAGCTGTTTCTTCGTTTACATTTCTCCTGCAATTCCATTCCCGAAATATAATCTCCCGCGTCCCCTTTGGCCAACTAGAGCCTAGTCTGTTGCCTCTAGCTATCGTATCCCCTCCCAAGATGCTTGTTACAGTATCGATCTATGGTTATTGTGAAGGACTACGAACATTAGGCTATACAAAAGCGCGTCGAATATAGGAACCTGCAGTGGCGCGACTCCGCCCGAGTCCCCGCTAGAATTGTACAATCCGGACTGACTGCGGTCAATCACCACAATCTATCACTACCACTCCGACTATCTTGCCGCTTAATTCTACTCCACCACCATTCATAATGGCATCGGTTTTCACCTATGACCCCGACCCTCCAAGGGTCTCTTCGCCGTGGTCAACATCGGGCTCTTCAACGCCCCAGATGGGAGCGGCTACCAGCAACCGCGTGGTGCCTCGGACCCGGTCCAGCACGACGCTGGACCGGGCCGACCCTGACCTGCTGTCGGACTATGGCATCGCAAAGCTGGAACCCGAACCACAAGAGGGTCCTACCGAGTACAAGTTGCATCTGCTGCTGCGTCCCCGTCGTCCGTTTGTGGCTATGTCCACGGGCCACCTGGTGGGAGGCTCGTATCATTTCCGAGCGAGCCTCGCCAACGCAAGCCCGACGCCCTCCAGCTCCGAATCAGCTGCCAGGCCGCCGCAGGCTCGCTCCACGGAGAGTCGTCAACAGAGGCTCCAGAACTTGACTACGCAGTTGCTCTGGCGTCTGCAGCAGTCGTCACCATTCCATTCATCTACGACTGCCAACCTGGTCCTGCCCGTGCTCCCTGACGCAGCCCCGCAGCTGGGGGCGCCGCAGAAGCCAGCTAGGTTGCTCCCGGGTCTCGAGGAGAGCCAGGGGGCCCTGTATGAGATAGGGGTTGCCGATGACGGGACCTTTGTCGGACTCACCGTGGACGAGCTGGAAGAAAGTTTGTCCACGCTGCAGGTCATGGCGGCCAGCCTTGGCTGCAAGGTCGAGATCCTGCGTAGGGTCATTGTTGGCCAGTGCGAGTGGATTGAAGACTCCTGTAGCGCGAAAGCCGATATCGGCAAAGTTCATACGGATAGCCTCTGGGTGGCCGAGGCTCTCGTGAGTCCTGATTGGGAGTTTTACCGGGTCAAGTCTCCGAAGACAGGCGCAGGGGAGGACGGCCCTTCGACGAGCGCCCCCAAGAGACGGTCTTCGCTAGATGACTCTTCCAAGACAGAGCAGATCCGCGTCTCCATCTCGGGCCCCAGCGCAGCCGGCAAATCTTCCCTTCTGGGCACGTTGACCTCGTCGGTGCTCGACAATGGTCGAGGCACAAGTCGACTGGGGTTACTGAAGCACCGGCACGAGATTTCATCAGGGATCACCAGTTCTGTTGCCCATGAGCTGATTGGATACGCCTCTAACGAGTCGAGTTCCGATACCATTGATGTGATCAACTACGCTTCTGGCAATATCGCTGCATGGGATGACATCCATGCTGCGTCGGAGGGCGGCCGTCTCGCTTTCGTCTCCGATCTTCCAGGCTCGCTCCGGTATCTGAAGTCCACGTTTAGGGGTATCATCAGCTGGGCTCCGCACTATGTTATCCTCTGTATCCCGGCTACGAGTGACGATGATACCGTGGCGGATATTGCCCGCGGTTCGTCTGACCAGTCTACTGAATTATCGCAGGCCCTATCGCATCTGGAGCTTTGTGCCAAACTCGGGCTTTCTACGGTGATCGTGATTACTAAAATGGACATCGCGTCCCGCACCGGCTTGAGGAAAAACCTAGCGCAGATCCTCTCTGTCTTGAAGTCGTCCGGCAGAAAGCCTTCGATGTTGTCTGTGTCAGCGGCGCCTGCTGGAGACTTGCAACATGTTGGGGCCAAGGATGCAGGTGAAGTGAGGAATCTGGTCGCTTCGACAGACAGCTGGCAGTTCACAGTTCCTATTGTCCTTACAAGTGCTGTGGACGGCTCGGGGATAGCGAAGCTGCATGCTCTGCTTCGGTGGCTCCCAATACCTACACGGCCTTTGAGGGATGTTTCTCTATCCAAGGCTCTCACCCCACCAATTGCGTATGAGACGGTTTTTGATGTGGATGAGGTCTTTGCCATCCCACTCTCAAAGGTCCATTCTCTGTCCGGTGACGAGCGACAAAAAGAAACCCACGGCATTGTTCTATGTGGGCTTGTCCGTTATGGAGCTATCTCGGCCGGTGATGAGCTTGTCATCGGGCCTGTCTTCAATACTGGTACGGAGCATGGATCTGGCACCTCTCCCCCCAACGACCGGACGGATAGACGCTCGGACACACAGCTCTCCTCGAGTTCCTCCCGGAGTCGGCCGCCATCCGGGGACTTTTCGAGTTCGTTCCCCCACGGCTCTCTTCCCGGAAAGACCCCCCTTGCGGCTCAGGCAAGCTGGCAGCGCGTGCGGGCCGTCAGTGTCCGCAACCTGCGGCTGCCGGTGCAGAGCTTAACCCGGGATCAAGTAGGGACGATCGGGATCGAGCCCTGGCCACTCTCAACGGACGGGGAACGACCCCAACTAGGGAGAATCCGCAAAGGGTCCGTGTTGATCAAGATCCCGCCTGACTCCGCTCCGGCCCGCCGCAGGTTCCACACCGGTTTCGTGGCCAGCTTTGCGGCTAGCGAATTTGCCTCCGCGTTGTCCCCACCGGTGTTGCTGGGTGGCCATGCGACGGTCTACGTCGCCAATGTCCGCTCGACCGTGCGGCTGACCTGCATGGCGCTCGCGGAAGATGAGGTGATTTCGCGCCCCCCATCCCCGACGGAGCCGGAGTTCTTCAGCTTCGATGGGGATGGCCCTGATCTGGAACATGGGCGGGCGCATGGTGTACACGAGGTGATCAAGTCATCGGGTAGTTCCGAGGCCGGTGAGATCAAGATCACCTTCCTGTTCGTCTCCTCGGTTGAATGGGTGGAGATCGGGTCGCGGGTGCTTCTGATGCCTGCAGCGTCCACTGGCCTGGCATCTACCCAGGGGTCGAGCTCTTCTGGGACCGGGCTTGAGGGCTTTGTTGGTCGTATTTGTGATGTGTTATATGCGGGGGATGCGAACAGTAAATGATATGCTTTTATATGCTTTTATTTGAGGTTGGTAAAGTATGTGCGTATGTGCGTGGTGGATGTCTTGCATTTATTTTCAAACAGCTGTATCAGTAAGATTACAATGGATTTAGTGTTTATAGCATAGTTTCTGATACGAAGACAATCTGTATACTGTATACCTCTGAAAGAAGTGGTGACGATGGGAAGCTGCTGGATACGATAAGATACGGGGGGAAGATATGGCACTAGACCTAGATGGGAAAGGCATGCAGCGCTCAGACCACCACAGCTATCTTAATTAACTGGACTGGAGTTAGACTTACTGCATGGCTGACGCCAAGTGGACAGGCTGAAAGCTGATCTTCCTCTTCACTACTCCGTACTCCGTACTCGATCATACTTTCATTGTCAACTACCTCCTACCTCCTACCTCCTACCTCCCAGATGCGTCCTGCGCAAAGCACATTGACAACCGGTCGATGATTGGCAGTCTTGTTTCAAATTGCGGCACGGGTTGGGCCTCGCTCGAACTGGCTGTGTTCCCACTTCCCACCCGCCAGAACAGTCCCCATCCCCATTTTCGCCTTTCGTCTACCCCGGATCCTGTCCCGTCAGTTCCGCAGTTGACCACCAGCTCAGCTCTAATAATCTCCTGACTTTCTTGTTCCCCTTTCCCCCACCTTCCACTTGTACAAACTGCTTTATTTGACCGGGTAGGAACTCTGGCACCCTCAAGCGGACTCTTGTTGTGGTCGGAAGTGACTGGCATGTCCTGAACCCCTCACCGCTCACTCTCCACGGACAGAGTTATTAGGCAGTCCACTTTCAATCAAAACCGCCACCATGGCCGGACCCAGCAGCTTGAATCTCAGCTCTCGCGTCAGCTCCGATCTCGATGGTCTCTCAGATGACGAGGAGAAATTCGTCTCCAGTGCCAGCACAACCTCCAGTGCGTATGAGCCTCAGATGAAGGAGGCTTTGAATGCGGGGAATGCGAGTTCCCAGCAGCCGCAAGCTGCTGTCGAGTCTCCGGAAAACAACATCAACCACAACAACCACAACAACCCGCACAAAACTGGGGGGGCAAAGACGGCAGTAGCCTGCTGTGCTAGTCCCCATGCAGCTTCTGATCCGGCGGAAAGAAAGCCTTTGAACCTGCTTGACTTGCCCATGGATATACTGCAGGAGATCATGAAAGAGGTGTGTAACCCGCCCTGGTCACTTGATGTCGACCCCCGCCCCCACGTCAACCATACTGATCTGATCGGGGATATTCTATAGGTGACCCACACGACTGATCTCACATCCCTTGCATTGACCTGCTCTGCGCTTCATTCGCTGGCGATCCCGCAGATGTACTCCCGGTTCGACATCGTCTGGCCGGAAGCCCTATCAACCTCCGACCATCCGGCTGGCGTGGATGCTCTCTCGTACGGGCTGGCCACTCTCGTGACCGGGGAGGACATATTCCGCGAGGTGCCTGGCCGATGGTCATCCCAGCCGTGTCCCCATTGCGGGTGCAGTGGAGCGCCGCCCGGTCAGCATACGGCGGGCGCACTACCGCGAGTTCGCCGCGGCAACTACTACGCGCAGTATACCCGCAAGTTCTCGGTCGGCAACGGGCCGTTGATGTGGGTGCAGGAATACGCGGTGACCAAGGAGACGGGGAAGATGCTGGGGACGCTGGTGGCTCTGGCGGTGGCGCGGATGGTGAACCTGGAGACTTTCGTCTGGGACATGCCCACGGGAGTCTTGCGGGATGTCTGGGTCGCGCTGGCGTCGCTGGCGACTCGCCCGGGTCACGAATGTCGTCTGGAACGCGTTTGGGTCCGCTGGCACGATAACTCCGACAATGCCCTGCGGTCTCTGGTAGCTGCAGGCCCGACTGCGTCCTCGGTGACCTTGCCTCATTCGCCGGCTACGGTTCTGAGGTCTACCGGAAATACGGCCTTGTGGCAACGATACGGACACGTGGAATACCCCTCCCTGTCGATCCTTCCTCCCTTGAAGAGCCTGAGCGTGTTGGACATCGACGAGCCGTCGTATTTGGAAGAGATGGGCGTGTTGGTCGAGCGATCGCGCGACCGGCTGAAAGAACTCCGCATTGGGATTTCTCTCAAAGCGTATCCAGCGGCATGGCTAAAACCGGCAGGGACCTGGCAAGCTGAGCAGCCAACGCCGCCGAATGGGATCATTGGTTGGCCCCGATCGGGGGGCGTACTGGGGGTCGTTCTTGGCAGGTCTGAAGATCATCACACTCGGCCCGAATCACAGGCCCGTGTCTCTCCCACCAAGCAGGATTCTGTTGAGACGCCTCCTGAAACTAGTCAGGCGGCGGGTGACGTGCCTGTCCAGGACGGGCCCCTATTGACAGCGGGTTCTCCGCCCCAACCGAACGATGGTGTCACTGGGCTGGCCCTAAATATGGAACACACGCACCTCGCTAGCCCGCCGGCCTCCTCTCCTCCAGGAAATAGACCCTCGCCGATCCCCGGCGGGCCAACGGGGCCTGTCACGGGGGCACAAATGACTCCCGAACACGATCGCCCACTGTTACAGCTTGAGACACTCGAGCTGGAGCGCGTGGCATTGTCGATCCCGGTGGCAGTGCATGCACTCGACTGGAGCAAGCTGACCACGTTGACGGTCCTTCGATGCGAGAATCACGAGAAGCTCTGGCGGGCTCTGCGCCGCCAGTTCACCCCGTCACCGTCACGGCCGAAGAGCGGGGAGGGTCCAGAATACACACTGCGACTAAAGCACCTCCATACGGATGCCGTATCGCCGTACCTGCTGCTGTTCATCAAGGATACACTAGCGCCAAATACCCTAGAGACCCTCTTCCTGCATGAGGCGCCGATGTCCGAGTCGATCGTCAACATCGACGCGATCTACAAAAACGCGATTCGTAATCACCACCTGAGTTTGCAGAAGATCCTGGTGGATAGCACCCAGCGGACGCCGGGGGGCGCGGAGATGGCTAGCGTGCGATGGTACAAGTGGATGTTCACGCGACAGATGATTACGTTCATGAGCAGTGGTCGGATGCCCCGGCTGAAGGAGCTATCCATTGCTCTCCACGCCAAGGACTGGGTAAGCTTATTCCCCTTTCACTGAGGGCACTGTCCCACTAATCCTGCCATAAACAGCACTACTTCATTCAGAGGCTCCCGTACATGCCCCAGCTCCGGGCCCTGCACATCCCGCACATCGCCCGCCACGTCCACCGGGACCCGAAGGAGCTGGCCATGCTCATCCTCGACGTGGTCACGATCCGGCCGGAGATTGGGCTGACCTACGTTGGGGTGCAGGACAAATGCTACGAAATCTTGGAGGGGAAGGACGGCGAGAGCGGCGGCGAGTACTACGACACGGACGACAGCCACAGCGAGGGGTTCGTGCCCGGTGGGGAGGACTGGCCGGGCTCGGAGACCAACGACGAGGAGGAGTCGGACGACGACGGCGGAGCCAGCGCGATCCATACGCTGTCGGACTCGTCGTCGGACGACCGGGGCTCGTCGGACGGCGAGGACTCGGAGATGGACTTCAACCGGTCGCGCGTGTCGTTCCGGCTGCGGGAGATTCTGTTTTATGATGATAAGATCGCCATTTATAAGGCACGACACGGGGTGTTGTGATTTCTGGGGGGAAGGCGTCGGTGTGATTTAAGTCTTAAGATACCACCCAGCGATTTCGGATGCAATGCGATTATGAGATTGAGGCTGAACGTATGGTTTTGCTGTCCCTAACGTTAGTATCTGTAGTGTCATAGTATGCATGCATGCATACGCCGGCTGACTCAGCCCGCACAAGTGCTTCCTGGAAGCTTCCCACGTGACAAGGCGGTCAAGCAAGCTCAGCCTCTGAGCGCGGCCGCGATCTCGACATCACCGTCCCGCAGCCAACCCACGCGGAAGTTCGAAGGAAGAATTGAGTGAGCAGCCGTTTCTCCTGTCTTTGGATCGTCCCACTCGCGTTATCGACTCGTGTCTGTGCTGTTGAGTAGCCGCCAAGATGAAGCTCGTCCGGTAGGCCGACCCCCTCTTCCTCACTCCTGGAAGAAACACTAACCGACCACCGGTCCGGACCAGGTTCCTGATGAAATGCGCCAATGAGACGGTGACGATCGAGTTGAAGAATGGTGAGTCGTTGCGTGGAGTGGTCTCGTTCCGCCGACGTGGTTGCTGCACATCATCCACCCAGCACCCTGACCCTGCTACACCCTCAAGCTTCAGCCGACACGCATCCCAAGCTCAACCCTTCCGAAACCATCCCACCCAGAAAGAACCCCAATACCCAAACCATACTAACCCAGGGCACCGGTAGGAACCATCCTCCACGGCACCATCACCTCCGTCTCCCCGCAGATGAACACCAGCCTGCGCACCGTCAAGATGACCCCCAAGGGCCGCGACCCCATCGGCCTCGACACCATCAACATCCGCGGCTCCACCATCCGCTACTACATCCTGCCCGACAGCCTGCCGCTCGACACGCTGCTGATCGACGACACGCCCAAGCCCAAGAACAAGGCGCGCAAGGAGGCGGATCGGGGTGGCCGCGGCGGGCGCGGCGGGCCCCGCGGCCGGGGTCGCGGGCGTGGTCGGGGCCGGGGACGGGGGTTCTAACCGTTTTCCAGCTTTTCTTCTTCGGGACGGCTTTGTGGGCTTAGGAAGGGTTGTCTGGTTTTTGGGGGTGGTGAACTGATCTGAACTGGTTACGGTATGGTCCTGAGTGAGGGAATGCGGTGCTGGTGGTGGTGGTGGTGGTGGTGAGGATACCCTACGTGCTACTATGGGTTGGGGGTGGGGATTGCTCGTGCTCGTGTTGTGCTGTGGTTGGGCCGGGCTGGTTTGATTTGTTGTTCGTTTGCTACATTTTCTTCTACATCTAAAGTCATCGTCATCGTCATGGGAATATGGAGTTCGTTTTTCGATTCTATCTCATTTCTTGCGTGTCAGTTTCTTGATCAGTTCCGTAGTTGGAGAGATCGGTACAAGTTCTAAGGTTACGTTTGACCAGCAAAAGCAGAAAAGTCTATCAAATCACCATGACATTTACTCCGGAAAATCATGAATCATTATCTATCTCTACAACCCCAACCCCAAACCCACTGCCATGTATATCCACCACCCACACCAACACAGAACCCCCTCGAAAGTCTACAAATCCTCCCGCCAAACCCTTACAATCACCAACTTTTCCCACCCCGCCTTCGTCCCACTAAACCCAGCCATCTCCGCGCACCACCTCCCCCTCCTCCTCCTCCTCGACCCCTCGCCCTCCTCGTCCAGCCCCTCCGTCCACCCCCGAATCCGCTCCACCACCTCGCGCGGCCGATTCTGCGCGCAGAGCAACACATACCCCACCCCCCTGGGGCTCAGCACCCTGGGCAGATCGGCCAGCAGCCGGTCCGTGATCTCCATCCCGTCCTTGCCACCGGCATACGTCAGGGAGAGGAGGTAGGACTCGCGCTCGAACTGCTCGCTGCGCGTGGCGGCGGCATCCCCGGTCTCGAAATCCGCCGCCGTCGGGGCGCGCGGCACGGCTTCGGTGGGGACGTAGGGCGGGTTGAAGAGGAGGATGTCGATGCTGCCGGGCTTGAACGAGGCGGCGAGGTTGCTTTGGACGGAGGCGAGGTGCGTTGATTTTATGGAGGGGTTTGCGTGGGTGGATGGGGAGTGGGAGGCGGGCGCAGCGTCTGGGTTGGTGGATGGGCGCGTGGTTGTGGTTGTCTGCTGCTGCGCCGCAATGGCCTTCGCGACGGTCTCGCGGGTCGCCAGGCAGGCGGTGCGGTTGAGGTCCGTGGCCAGCGAGAGCACGTCGGCGCGGCCGAGGATCGTCGGGCTGTTGGCCACTAGGAAGGCGAGAACGACGCCGGAGCCGGAGCCGACTTCTAGGATGGTGGGGGAGGGGGAGGGGGCCGCGAATTGCTGGGTCAGCCAGGTGGTTTCGCTGGCCGAGGAGAGCGTGTCCAGGAAGAGGTAGCTGTCTTCGGCGGGTTCGTAGATCGTGTCGAAGGGGACGTGCGCGGTGCAGGGGGTGGGAAGCATTTTGCCCGTGAGAGGTGTGCCCGGATGCGGGGGGGGGGCAGGTCGGGAAGAGGGAGGGAGGAAGTCAGATGGGTTTGGGTTTTGCGTAAATTCCAAGTTCTTGGTGATTGTTCCCAAAATTGTACAGAGTCGATCCGATAAAGACGTGACCGAACGATATCACTGCACCGGAGAGAAATCCTCGCCCCGCGATTGGTGGAGTCCTCTCCCCGCCTTCGAATTGGGAGGTACCGCGGCAGTACCTTATCCGGTCCGTTCGGTCTCGTCCGGAGGCTTGCGCTGCGCTGCGCTGCCCTGGCCGTTGCTTCGACTCTCCAATGTCCCATATATCAAGTCGATTGACTTCACCAGTAGTCAACACAATGCGCCTCCCCTTCCACCCCACCGCCCGCCGCCTGGCGACCGCCGCCTCCATCGGCTCCAAGTCCAGCCTCACCGAGGCCCTCGCCCTCCTCCCGCCCATCCCCCTCTACCGCCGCATCCTCCGCGTGCACCGCAAGAAGCTCGACCCCCAGATGCGCCTGCTGGGCGACTCGTACGTCCAGGCGGAATTCCGCGCGCACCGCAACGTGGAGAACCCGTTGCACATCGTATGTCCCCTCTTTTGGGGGAGAGTCTGGGCGGAAGCTAATGTGGCAGTCTAGATCGGCTTCTTGACGGAGTGGCAATTATACGCGCAGAAGCTGGAGGGCGATGCGTGGATCGGGGAGAAGTTGGATAAGGGCAAGTTGGATAAGATGAGTGGTGGGTGTTTTTGTTTTTCTGGTGATGCTGGTGCGTACGTGCAGGCTAATCCGAGTAGATCAGCAGATTGGCCAGTTGTATGAGCTGATGCAGGCTATCAAGAATGAGGAGGGCGAGGGCGAGAGCGGGGATGGGAAGCAATAGGCTGGGTTTCTGTGTGGAGATGATAGTTGATGGACTGTATTGCGGTGTGTAAGATTGTGAGATGTACTGTATATAGACCAACTGATGAAGAATGTAACCTGAAAGAAAGAATATGGAGGATCCTTGCAGACAGTACCTGCGAGGCGGCCTGATGGCATGTATTGATGGCATGTATAGCATGTGTAAGCAAGCTGCGGGGTAGTTAGTTAAAGGGAGAGAGTCTCGCAGCCCCTTCATACATCCAACTAAACTCCATCCTCCGCGTTTCATACACTTCTGACCGAGCTGGACTCACGATGACCACGCTCCCCACAACCACCAAGCCAGCCGCCTCCCCGTCCAAATTCAAATGCGTCTGCTGCAAGAAGAAGAGCTTCAAGACGGCCGAGGCGCTGCGCGACCACCAGCGAGCCCGGGACCACCATCCTGTCGCGTGCCCGTTATGCCCAAAAGTGTTCTGCGATAAGCACGCCGTGCAGCAACACCAACAGGTCCATCAACGGAAGGCGGCTGCTGCTGCTACAACTGCCCTGAAGCAGGGACCTACTGGTCAGCAGCAGACCACTACTACCACTCCCAAGCAACAAACGAACCCACCTACAACTACGCCCTCCAAGCCACAAACCACAACACCTCCCCCCAACATCCCCAGAACACACCACCACCCTTCCATCCTCCACCCCCTCGAACAAGACCTCCTCTACAAATACCTGCTCGCACGATGCCATCCCCGCACCCGCCTGCAAGCCCAGAACTACCCCACAGCACAGGCCCCCGGAATAGACCAAAAGCCTACGCCACCCGCCAACCCGACACAACCCCGCCGCAGAGCCGTTGTTCTGACCTGCGAGACCGAGCCCCACGCAACGAGTTCGACACATCTCACCGCCACAGACTTCTTGACTAATGAAGCCCTCCTCCACCTGGAACTGGCTCTTGGGTCTGCAGAAGGGATGCAGACCGCTGCAGCAACAACAACAACAACAACAACAACAACAGCAGCAGCAGCAGCATGCACCGACAAGACCACCCGTGCAACTGTGTCCGGCGCCGGTGCCGCGCGAACAGCACTGTGGGAGGTCATCGACGCGGACACGGTCCTCGTGGGGTATGGGCTGCAGCGCGGGCTGCAGCTGCTGCGGATGGGGCACGAGCGGGTGGTGGACGCGGGGATCCTGACGGCGGAGGCGGTATTCCTGGAACGATCCGTAGTGCCGGTCCGGAGGGTGTGGGGGTTGGGGGAGTTGTGTGGGGAGATGTTGGGGTGGGAGGCAGCAGCACCAGCAGCACCAGCAGCACCAGCACCAACCAAGAAAGGCAAGCGGAAGAAAGGCGCGTGCGACGGGTGGGAAGGGTGTGTGGGCGCCAGGGAGGTGGTGGTGTGGTGTTTGCGGAATCCGGAGCTGTTGCGCGCGTGGGCGGAGGGCAAGGCTGATGGGGATCCGCCCACGAGCGAGACGGCGAAAAGCAAGCGGAGGAAGAACAAGAAGAAGAGCAAGAGCAAGAAGCGCACGCCGAAAAAAGATGGGCCTGACGAACCAACACTTTTGACTACCGCATCACCGAAGCCAGAGACAACCCCCACACTTGAACCACCACCACAGCCTGAAGAACCGGACGAAGACGAAGACTCCGACGAAGGGCTCGAGATAGTCCAGTGGCAGGATCTGGAGTGATGTGTCACCATCTACAAAGTAACTACCACCTGACTACCATTTTTTGATAAAGGATAGATCCTCGGCATCCCGCGCCGACCAGCCCCACCCACTAATCTAGTCCAACCGTTGGCCACCAGTGAACCACAGATTGAACCTGAAAGTTTTTTTTACATAGTAATTGCAGTGTACCGTAACTACTACGGAGTACTAGTCCCCGTCCCCTGAAATCCTTATCTTATCGCCCCCCCGCCCCCCGAAAAAAAATAAAAATAAATTTCCCCTTCTTCCCCCGCGCATACGCCCTCCGATTGACATCTGCCCTTTTTCTTCACTCATACCTTCCAGTTCCCTCTAGTCCACCAAGCACGAATTTATTAAACCTACCTCCACCCCGTCCTCAATTCATTCTCCACGCAACCCTCGACAGAAAATCAATCCCCTCGAAACCAACCCCCCTCTTCCCCAAAGAAACCCCCCCCAAAGAAAACCCCCCCACCCAACTAAAGGTCCCCAAAATGCCCGCCCTCCTCGAAGACCCCCTCACCACCCTCCCCGCGCCACCCGCCGCCCAAACCGCCGCGCCCACCCTTCTCCCGCGCAAAGCCACCCTCAAAGACGCCACGCCGGTGACCCTGTACCCCATCGCGGGCGGGCCGGCCACCGTCCCCGATAGTCTCATCGCCTACCTGCACCAGGAATTCAGCGCCGAGATCGTCCGCGGCAGCACGTATCCGATGGAGGAGCCGATGACGCTCGAGACGTTCCGGGGGTATTGGTTCGGGACGTTTGCGGTTGTGGCTGTTGTCGATGAGGATGGTGCTGGTGCTGGTGCTGGTGCTGGTGCTGATGGCGCGGGGAAAGGGCTCGGGCTGGTGGAGGGGAGGGACTGGGCGCGCGTGTGTCTGGGGACGTTTTATGTGAAGCCGAATTATCCGGGTATGTGTTTTTTTCCAAATAGGGGGTGGTGGATGCTGAGGCTGAGGCTGGTGCGGATGCTCATGCTCATGCTTACTCGGTAACGGTGACAGGTCGGTGCTCGCATGTCTGCAACGCCGGGTTCTTTACGACGCCGGCGGCGCGGGGGCGCGGCGTGGGGATGGTGATGGGGCAGACGTATCTGGAGGTGGCGCCGGTGTTGGTATGTGACCTCTGGCTTATTCTTCTGGGACTATGATTGGGGGTGACCAAATGGGCACACCCCGACTGACGACGAACAGGGCTACAAATACTCCGTCTTCAACCTCGTCTTCGCCAACAACACCGCCTCCGTCCGGATCTGGGAGAAGCTGGGCTTCCAGGTCATCGGCCGCGTGCCGCGCGCCGCGCGCCTGGCCAACAGCACCGAACTGGTCGATGCGTTGATCATTGGCCGGGATCTGGTATAAACCTGAAGGACTCAACGGTCTCTCGCGGCACCACTGCACATCGATATACCCCATGACGGGAGGCACCTGTAAATACTATCACCGTTTCTTCGGTTCCCACTGTTTGATAGACCAGATCAATATAGATTACTGTACTTGCTCGACACCACACCAGGCAAAAATGACACCGCTGAAAAATGCACGAGGGGGATATCAATCTGCAAACACACGCAAAATCGGCTATATTACCATACAAAGCCCCCGGTCGCAATGCTCCAGTTAGAATTACATGATGACGAAAAAAAAAAAAAAAAAAAAAAAAAAAAACAAACAAACAAACAAACTACCCGGAATATGTGACGACTAGCCCCGCCAGGGAGGTCGCTCACCCAGCTTGCTGCGCGTGCTAGGCGCATTGTCCTTGCCGGGCCGGCCTTTGGGCAATGGAATCAAGCTGATGCGACGGTTGCTCGCATGTCCGAGCGACGTTTCCGGACGTGGCGTCGGAGGCGCTTTGGTCGGACTCGCCAGTGCGCGGCTATGATCCTGCGAAACACTGCGACTGAACGAAAGCCCCGCGAAGCTCTGGCGGCTGCGGGGCGCGGTGGCCAACCCATCGGGTCGGCGCAGTTTGCTGTAAGGGGGAGGATCCAGGAGGGATCGGTTCGGCGTGGGAGACGCCACGCGCGACGGGCTGCGCGACGCCAGACGGCTGGACACCCGGCTGACTGACCGCGCGCTCATCGGCGCCGGTGACACGGACATATCGCGCCGGTACGGAGTCATGGGCAGGGTAGAGGAAGGGCGTGATGTGCGACCCTGGGCGGACGATTTGCGGAAAGGCGTACTGAGTGAATTCGACTTGTATTTGTCCAAGTCGTTGGTGTTGGTGCTGGTGGTCCACCGCGGCCGATTGGCCAACGCGGGCGGCAGAGCTGGGGTACGAGGGACCGGTTTGCGCGCCGCGGGCGTCGGCGTAGCGGCCACGTGCTTCGTAGGCGAGGTCACCCCGAGTGACGCCTTGGGAATCGCCGATTTCTTCGCCGTGAACGTGGATGTGACTTGCGGCAATCCAGAATAGCGTCGCACCTTCGACATGGTAGTGCGTGCCACCGAACTGACAGAGCTGCCACGACGGCTGGAGTTGTTGACCGGCGTGGTGGATCGCTTCAGTGCATTCGCCGGAGTCATGATCACCGATGAAGCTGGGGAGCTGCCGGGGGTCTCCGGGACACTCCCGGTCAGTGGGCTATCCATGGTGAGGATACTCGAGATCGAGTCGCGCAGGTGTTGAGACCGTGTGAAGCTGATGTCCTCCAAGGATGCATCCATTACCCGAACGCTCGCCTTCAGAGCATCGACCCGCGATGTCATGTCTGACAACAGTCGTAGAGTCTCCCCATTGACCGTGAGACGGTCATTCACGCCCTTCTGAATGATCGACACCACCCGCTCAATCGCAGCGACGTAATGCTGTTTCTTGGCGTCGTAGTTTTCGACCCGTTTCGTGAACTGGGCCGGGTTGTGCACCTGAGCGCTCGTCTCGATGGCTTCCTGCAGCTTCCCGATGCTCCTCTCGACCGATTCGAACATCTTCTGCGCTTGATTGCCCGCGTTGCGGAATACAAGGATCCACCGGTCCTCGCTGAGCTCGTCCCGCAAGGCTTCTGCATCTGCTTCCAGCCCTTTGTAGGCCTTCTCGAGTTGACTACGTCGATCTTCAAGCTCCTGGCAGGCGCTGGGGAATATCCGCACCGCCCGCGACTGGAACATGGAAAGTCGCATGGGGAGAAAGTCGAGTGATGCTCGCAGCGGTTGGATCCTCGCAAACAAGGCGATCAAGTTGGAGTGGCTGGAGTCATCCTGCGGCGTCTGAATGATAGGCATGTCCAAGCTCGGTGCTGTGAAAAGAGGCTCCAGACTGAACCGCTTACTGGTCGACATGCGCCCACCGGCTGGCGTTTCCTCGACAATGGTCTCCAGCTCATTGATGTCAAGTCCCGTAGCGCTGGAATCCTGTTCACCCGCCATGGTCCAGTGTCGCTTTTCTTCCATCTCGAAGATGAGCCGGCCGAGATTCTCCACCTCCACACCGACATCGCCCAACACATTGCTCCATAGTTCCTCCCACTCCATCGCCAGTTCCACTTGTTCTTTGACTCCTTTCAGTCGATCCTTGATTTGCGACCAGCTTTGGATGATCCCGTCCATCTGTACAACAATCAAGTTCAACAGATCAGTGGAGACCTTTTCGATATCATCGCGCATCTGCACGTCCTCGATAGCCTTGACGTAAACGTTGATCAGACTCTCAAATCGGGTGATCGCTCCATCGACCCCGTCCAACCCTTCTCGCCCGCCGGCAGCTGCCCATTCGACGTCATCCTCGGCATCCAGCCCGCTCAAGACACCGGATGCCTTTTTGATCCATATTTGAATCTGGTCCGCAGCTCCCGTGAGGGCCCTTACGGCGGCAGCGGCGGTTGGTATGGACGCAATACCAGCTTCGAGTAAGGATGGTTGGGGAAGGGAGATGGACGTGAGTTGCGAAAGCTGATTGCTAAAGGAGGCCCTTGAGAACGAGTATATTGATTCCGAGCGTTGTAGCCCCAGCGGGTTGAAGTAGGATTGCGAGTTCGCAGATGAGATGGAGAGGGGGCGGGGAGAATCTTTCGGCGGTGGGGGAGGGGGGACGGATTCATTGTCACTGGTACTCTTGAGGTACTTTTCGAAGTCGGTCGGATTCGTGGACGGCATCCCATTCGTTGATCCGGGGCGGAGGGGCAGACGAGATCGTTCCAGGACAGCCATGTCGAGCAGTGGCTCTTCGCTCGCGTCCCCTTCCTGCTGTACTTCTTCTTCTGCCTTGGGTTCAGCTGCGACTTCGGCTTTCAACACTGCTTCTGCTTCCACTTTCGTTTCTGCGTCTGCTTCTGCTTCCGTCGCTGTCCTTACTTCTGCTCCAACCTCTTCTAGAGTGGCCCCGTTGGGGCGCTCTTCTGGAACGGAAGCGATCAACAGCGAGTGTAAGTCGGGTTGTAAAACAGAGGTAAACACGTGCTGTTCTGGCGCTTGCTCCGAAGGTTCCCAAGCTTCTTCTGCGTCGAGCTCGTCCGCTAGTAGCTCTTCCGGGAGCACAGGGTCGGGGACCTCCAGGTGATTTGAATCGCACGATTGTTGTTGTTGTTGTTGCTGCTGCTGTGAGTAGAATTGTTGTTGTTGTTGTTTCCTTTCTCTGTGGGCGCGGTGCAGACCATTCCACGTCCGACCCTTTTTTTGGATCCTTATCGATAAGTCCTGGTGCAAGCTGTCCAACTCCTTAATGTGTTCCTCGGGGATGCGGCCCACGGCGCCCACGCGAGACGGGCTGTTGTTTTTGCTGCTGCTGTTGCTGCCGTCGAGGAGCTTGACGCGGGCGGCGAGGCCGGGGGATAATCGACGGAGGATGGATGGGCGAATGAGCGTCTTCTCGGCGTTGGCGTTGGCGTCGGGAGTGTCGTCAGGGTCGTCGTCGTACGTCGTGCTGTTGCTTCCCAGGCTGCGGAGACTGCGCAGAGAGGATTTGGATCTGATTCGTCGCGTGAAGGACTCATCTGCAGCGGAGATGGAGACAGCAGGAGGAGGAGGGGGAGGAGGGGAGAAAAGGTGCTGCGGCGGCGGCGACGGCGGCGACGACGACGTGGTGGATGCGATGAGCCCGGAATCCGGGGGGTCGGCGGTCGCAGTGGTTGCGGTTGCAATGGTTGCAGTCGACCCGGTGAACATGGCACGCATGGATGGGGGGGGGGGAAAATCCACGAGGCGACTGCGGTCGGATGTTGTTTTGATTTGGTTTAGGAAAGACAAGAAAGGGTATGTATGGGTACTGGGGTGGTGTGGGTAACTTGCGAAAGGATGTGTGGACGTGAAGGACTGAGTGACTAACGCACTAACGCAGTCGTGCAGTAGAGCAATGATGAAGGGTGGGTTTAGGAATGTGGTTGATGGGCTCAGGATGCGCCAACGCGGCGGGTGGACTAGGAGTAATAGGCGTTAGTTAACTTAGGTATGCCCCTTATCCGGTTTCAGCACAAGCCTGGGTTTAAACGCGTCGGGCCCAAATAGAGATTCTCAACTTGTCAATGTCAACCGGCTCAACAGAAACCAGACCGGAAAGTCCCGGTGACATGATAGGTACTGAGTTGACACGCAATGAATTTGGGCAGCAGCAGTAGCAGTAATGAATGAACGAATGAACGGGTCAGAGTATGAAAGAAGGTGAATATGTACAGTACAGTATTGAGGGGTGATGACGAGGGTGTGGGGGAGAATGAAACAGAAGACATGCTGTCCCTACAAGAGGTTCGGCTGGCCTCAGGCTCATTTGTGGTGCCCGACCAAGCCCCGGGCTGATCCTCCGCCCCCAAAGGGCCGATTATCTGCACCCTTTCTTTCTTTCTTCCTTACTTTCTGTCTACGTAGTCACTACTACACTTAGATACTAGGTAGTTATGCTACTTGGTGCTTGAACCATTGTATTGAAAATAGCATTGAAACAGAAAGCAGAAGAATGAATAAAGATTATTCAGCTCGCTGCTTTTCTACATGTAAATGGGTTGAACTACACCACGCCTACCTTTCATAAGGGAGTGCTACAAGCATCCGCTAAAGAACTACTCAGGGCTTGTTGACCGTAGCCCAAGCTGCCTGAGACGAGTCCCCAGGGCAGGGCTCATGATCCATACCACACAGACTACACGACCCCAGAACCAACAAGGGCGAATAACCGTCCGGCCCATCCGCTCGGGATACCGAGCTGGGAAGCGGCCTTCCCAGCGGTATAACTCCTTTCCCCTTTGGCCGATGGCTATCACACCACGCAGCCTCCTTCGCGTCATAGGCATTCCGCGGGACGGCCGATTTCCACTCCGCAAGAAGCTTGGCCGGGGCATTCGAGTCGTTATTATCATCACCGTCGACAGCTGCGCTCGCCGGAAACCGCCAGGGCGTCAAAGCGACGGCCCCATCCTGCGAAGAGGTCAGCGGCTGTTGCTCACTGCTGTACAGTGCCACCGTGGAGTAGACGTCGATGCAGCCATAGACGAGCTTGCAGGTCGGGAATCGGACCCACAGCTCCTTGAAAGCGCGGGCCAGGGCCACCTTGCAGATGTCTTCGTGCACGCGAATGTGCTCCCCGGCCTGGAGGCCGAGGAGGCTGGGATCCCACCGGATCGTGATGAGCCAGGTGCCGGGGGCGATCCGTTCGGTGGTTGTAGTATACGGACGTGTAGCGGGGGGGCGGGAGTAGTCGAGTCGCTCCGGGCGCTGGATCGCGTCTGCAGGCACGATGATTTCATGGTCTGTGCAGGGCCTGGGATGCTCGTCGGAGTTGGCTGAGCTGTGCATGGCTGTCTTGGTGTTCCCGGTTCTTCACTGAGATAACCAATGTTGCGAACAAGATCTTGTTGCGGAAAGGACAGAAGGAGGGTGGGTGCTGGTGGGATACCGACGTGAGGAACATGCTGCTCCCGGTCAATTTATAGAGTGCGGACGAGATGTGTCCAGGTCAACTGAGAGTAGAGTTTCATTTGGTTCTTTGATTCTCGGTAGCTTTGACTTTGTTGATGATGCCATACTCATAGACTGGGATCTTTGAGATGCGCAGTTCACTTATGTCCATTATGTTTGTTCGCGACCTTTGTCATCCTATACTTCATGGAGCGCAGCAGCTTCTACTGTGCGTGTACCAATAAACATGGAGTAAATGCTCCGGCATCCATGGAACTCGCCCGCGCGACCCAACCGAAGGCCTGATCTTACTCCAACCTCCAACGACTAGACTAACCCCGAGTTCAGCCAAATTGTCGATCGATGTGAGCGAGGTTTGATCTTCGTGAGCAATGATTATGTTTATTGAGAATGATACAAGAAAGTATAATCTGAAACAGGATTGGGCACCCCCTTCTGCATAGGGATGTCGGCGACCAGTCCGACACCCGCCTGAGAGACGGAGTGCAGCCCATATTCCCGCGCCAAAAGTCATATAGTTACAATGAAGGGCAGTGTCCCCCGTCCGAGCAGCAAGCAAGATCAAGCAATCGCGACAGAGGGGTGAAATGTAAAACACAAATATTTCCAACCTGACTGAGCTCAGACAAGCAAGGGGTATCAATGTGGCCAGAGCGGACAGCAAAATAAGCGCAAGAACGAACCCACCGACCATCCCGTCGGTCTTCCCCTTCCCCCTCCCCTCCTCCTTCCTCGGCTTCCCCTTCTCCCTTTTCCTCTACCCCCCTTTAAAAAAAGCCCCTCTCTTCCTATTCGTGACCAGGATCGATCACAATTGACGACCGAGCACCTCCTATCACAAAGGACGGATCACCAGATCGTCACTAGGAAGGCTGGCAGCCGAAGCTCGCCGCTCCCGCCAATCCCGCACCAGCTCTTCGCGGACTGCCCTACACCAGGACAGCAGAGCGGTGTCGAACTGCTTCCAAGCCTCGTCGTTATTGCCCTGTACCACTCCCATCACGTCGATCTCGAGCTTGGTTTCCCATCGTAGCTCGGCCGCCTTGATCCAGAATCGCAGATTCTCGGCCATGCGATATGGCTTCCCGACGTCCTGATGGTACTTCTTGATGTCGAAGACCGGCCGCTTGGAGTTTTTGATCGCGAAATTATGGGCCCGCACCAGGTCTCGGCCGTCGCGCAGACGCTCCAGCATGGCAGGCGGCGGTGAGTTATCTTCCGGAGCGGTCCATGCGGGCAGCTGCGCGTCGGCGCCGATCAGGCTGCGCAGGAACAACGTCTCCCGGTCCCGCTCCTTGCCTGTCCACTCTCCTTCCGTCCAGATCCATGCAGCTCGCTCTTTGGCTTCGAATGATTCCAGCTGAGCTTCCCGGGCCAGCATGTCGCGTACGTTGCCCATCCAACCTATGATGGCGGTACGCTCGTCTTCGCGAAGCCCGTCGGCGAAGTTCCGCGCGGCCCATCGCTTCATCACCTCGAGCACACTGAAGAGCTCCTTTCGGATCTCCCGCTTGTCCTTGATGGATGCCAGTCGCTCAGGACGCTCATGTGCGGTGTAGTAGATCTTCGCAGCCCGAATGGCTAAGGTGACAGCATCCAGGACACGCATGCCCTGAATCTCCTGCCATGTCTGAGGAACGGCTTCCGGAGGAGGTTGTGGTCTGGAGTCATCTTCGCTGTCGCCGGGTTCGTTGGATGAGAAACTGATACGGGGCGGAATCATCTCCGCCGGCGGATCCTTCTGGGTGTCGAGGGAATTAATCGCGCGATCGGCCTTTTCCATCGCATCCATCAGGTCTTTCCGCAGAGCCTTTAGTTTCGGTGGAGACGGAATGTGGTGCGTCTTGATGCTGTACGTGCTCACGGTGGGTGGAAGCATCACCTCGACGTCTTCATCCATCTCGGACCCATCGTCCTCGAAGCCGGAATCGCGGGGATCGATGCTCTCTTCCTCCGTAGGGCTCACCGTCAACTCATCGATGAACCGGGCATTGGGGGTCAGCAGCAGCCTGGGAAGCTCTTCTGGGTCCTTCTTCTTTTTCCTATATGCACGGGCCTGGCCGCCCTTCCCATCCAGCAAGCCTGTTCGCGCAAAGTAGTATTGCAGATGTGCGATGCTCCCCAGGCTCATCACACTCTCCCGATTCTTGGCTGAATCTGCGAATTCGGCTCCTTGGGTACGGATGTAGCCCCGTCGCTTTGAGGCGGTCGAGATTGATGACCGGGCATCAGCAGAGGTAGCAGACGAGGCCGAGAGCGAGGAAAGGGACGAGAAAGTCCGGTCTGGCGATGGGCAGGAGGAGATGGCCGGCGTTGCTGGGACCGATGGAGAGGGAGAACCGGCGCGGCCAGGGGCCGTGATTGATTCGGGGTCGATAGAGTCATCCATGGCTGCGCACGTTATCCTTGTTGGCTCGTTCACTGGTGACGGTCGCAGGTCTGCAGAAGATAGATCGTATTGGGGGCACGGCGGCGCGTTTGGCGAGGACACAGATCTGGTATGAGGCGAGTTATACCTCTCACACTAAAGAGCAAAGGACAGGTGTACGCCGGGTGATGGGGAAGGATGGGAAATGACGCGAAATGATCGAAATTAGGGACACGGCCTAGGTTTGAGACGCGAGAGTTGAGTGATTAATTAGAGATGGTCAAACCGATCGTCGGGGCAAGATTGAATTTGGGAAGTTCGAAAGGGGGGGCGTTTTTTTCCCACTAAAAGGGGAAGCGGGTCGATAGCCCAGGGTGATTATCGCACACGTCTGCATTGATAATGCACCACCACCACCGGTATTTATAGAAGTGTCATTTCTTTCTTGTGCATCCGTCTTTTCGGGCGTCGGGTGGACAAGCGAGCCCCTGAGGTCATTTGCAATCGGAAAGCCGGCATGGCTGCTGGTGCCTTCCAAGGCTACTACCCCATGATTGATGCTCATCGAACATTGGGCAGTGTGGATATTGCAACGGATTCAAGCCTCTCTGTCTGTCTCCTGTTGGTTTCTGTGGTTGAGTGACTGCCACTTGGCCCTTTCAGGCCTAGCGTCCCCCGTGCCTGAAAAGCCCCGCATCCAGACTTTTGAGTCTTTTTGACGCGAACCCCCTTACGGCTTACTCTACTCTTACTCAGTCGATTTCTTCTCTGCAGCCTGCACGTCACTTTCAGGCACAAGCCTCGGTTGAACCCGCTCAGTTAGAAGCAACATGATTCATAATCAAGTCATCTATTGAAACTTTATTGAAGGTTGAGGAGAGATGCATTATTTACAACATAATAGTACAGTGCCCTTTGGCCCGCTGCTTATCAAGAACCAACCCCCCCGGCAGAGAGCAACCAGCACCGTCCACCCATCTATACATGAAACAAGATTCCTCCAGGGAATGATTAGCCCGTTGTGACAACTGCCCCGGTCCAGCCGGCGTGACACCAGATGTGAAAGCGGACGCAGGCCCGAGGCCTTTTAGATCACTTCCTCCCGCTCCCAACCAGTGGCCTTCAGATTATCAATGCCCTTGTTCGGATGGGGTTTGGATGGATCCTTGTACTTGGCCGCGTACGGGTTCGGATCTGTCGCGTGGTCGAGGTTGCCTAGAGTGTGGTTCACCTCGCGGTGCTTGGCTTCGTCGGCGCGCACATAGAGCAACAGGTCCCGCATCGTCCGCTGTCCCTCCGGCATCTTCCAGTACTGCACCGCGATCTCGGGCGCCTCTAATCTCTCCCAGTGGGGCAGCTTGCCGCTCTCGATGTCTTGGATCGCGCGCGTGTACGTGATCACGGCCTCCTCCTCGAGATACCCCACGAATCGGTGGCAGATGCGCGGCGACATGAGGTAGGACAGGAAGAAGCCGTTGAAGAAGACTCCCTGGGCGCCAAGCACCATGAGCCGCATGAACCAGCCCGGCTCCGCGAGCTTCAGGAAGGTCAAGAGGTGCATCCGCTCGTTGTATGCCTCCTCCAACAGGGTTTCAATCCTAATGCAGAAAGAGTGGTTAGTTCGTGTTCTTCGATGCATGTATGACTCGCAGGCAGGACGGCGAAGAACCTACCATCCATTGTCCCTCTTCATGCGCCGCAAGCTTCGCAGGTGTCGCAACATGCCGCCAACCATACCGGGCACACCAGCCACACTCTCCAGGAAGACAAACCGTCTCAACCACGCTTGCTCGGTCATCTGGAATCTGGCCTCGTGTTCCTTGCCCGCGGGTGGGTGGCGGTAGCCCGTCACGAAGTCCATGCCCCAGCGCAGCACGCGCACGGTACCGAGTGCGACCCAATCGGCCCAATCTTTCGCGTCGCGATGCGCAACCGTGACTTGGTTCATTTGCGCTTCCGAGTAACTGTGGCAAAAAAATCAGCATCCTAGCTTACTTCAAGCTGGATCGAGTGGCACGTACACTGGATGGACCCAGGCGGTCTCCACTTCTTTGACATGGGGAGCCTTCGGTGGCGGGAAGAACTCCTTGATCTTGTCCTGTTTCTGTGTCGTCGAGATGAACCGCTTATTGTACGTGTGCTGGGAATAGTTGTTGCCCAGGGTCGAGCTGCCACACCGGAGGCCGGTCATGATGATGACACTCGGGTTGCTTCGCATGGTGAAGCGAAGGCTTGCCTTCGGGATGGCCACCCTCAGGGGCGCCGTGGCTGCCATGGAGTTCATCGTAGTATGCGATCAGTGGATTTAGATAGCGTTGGTGATGAGAGTGTTGTTGTAGCTGTTGTATGAGAGAAGCCTTTTAATGCTTCTTCAATTGTGATTATAGAAGTATGTAAATCGAAGTGATCCTGATTTGAATATGTACTGAGCCTTACAACCCCCCTTGACCGGTGCCTATTTATATAACATCTCGAAAACTCAAATGATACAAGAAAAAAAAAATTCACTTGTACCTGAACCTAGTTACCAAGTACGTATGACTCCCTGCCCCAACCCGGCGGTCCTGGTCCAGTACCTGGGGACTGAATCTGTTCTCGGCAGAAATCGGAGTGGCGCCCCGGAATTGTACGCAGCGGGACGGCGAGGGGGGGGAGGGGCCGCCCGGTGAAAAGTCACGCGGGTCGAAAACTGTAAAGAAAAAAAAGAAAAAGAAAACCACATCCTTTGCGCAGGTTAGTAATGCACTCAAACTTGCTCAGCCACTGGGTTGGATTATGCCGAGAAAAGACGCTGTAGGTTGTAGTGGCTATGTGATATGATCTCATCTGAGAGCCTCCAGACACATCATGGGTGTTCTTTGCATCCTAGAGGAATTCATTCCCTGTTGCTGGTTATGCGAATTTGTCTTTATGGAAAAGATCAGGCCGCTTCTCGCTGATGTATATTGGATGTTTAGTTATCGTTGAAGGTTTCTGCGCTTTCTTCTGCGTATGTACTGTACTCAGTAACTTATTGTTTAGAATAATGTCTCAATAGACTACTTGGGTATACTCTATTCACTAGCGCGGGCAGATCCCGGTCGGTCAGTGGCAGACTGGCAGCAGTTGCCCTGCACCAGAACTATAGGTGGGGTCCCCTGGATGTACTTACTGTACATAACGAACCAGGAAAAGGTAGAAGAGTTGGCAGGGGTCTAGAATTCTACTCATTACAGACGATGCTTTCCTGCAATGCTCGTCTACCTACGCCGTACCCTTTCAACTGCTTTCTCTGGGAAGCGACAAGAAAGGAAGTACAAACAATGAAGTTGGAATGTACTGTACCGCTACACCACGCAGCCCCGGGCCTCTTCTCTTCTCTTCCTTTCAACATACTACGTAAGAATGTCAAAAGCCTTCTTTGTTGGCCAAACGTAAGCTCGTATATGCTCACAAGAATAGATAGCGGTTACGGGGGCGCATCTTTCATGACCGGTGAGAGAAGACAGGCATCAGGCTCGGGCCCAGATGACCTGAAATGAAAAACCTCCGGAGGGAGGGAGGGAGGGTGAAAGGGCGCGGGATTCCACATGTTCGGCGTCCACCGGAAGGCGAATTCAATTCGGCGCTGGGATCCTCTATGGGTGGGTTTCGAAATTTCTGGTTTGGTTCGAACGGCATTTGATGGGATCTGGTCCAGGATCGGCGATCCCATCTGTCGCTTCGGTGAAACCCCAGAATATCCCGTTGGTTTGGTAGTCGATCGCTCTTGCTCTGATTTGTTAGAGGGTCTACTATGTGAATGTTCTCCGCCACTGATTGGTTTGTCGAGCAACCGGCTTCTACTATACGGATATAAGGGCCCGATTACAACTTGATCAACGTCGATATCGTGTACCCAGAGACCAAATTAGCCTCCTATTTGCAAAGAGTCGGACTGAAAGGATTTGCGCAGGGATGCTTTCGTGTTGCGCTGACACTGACATAGGGGGTGAATCCTGGAGGGTTGTCGCCGCAGCATTATCGGGTAAAGCCGGGATGCCGTGTCTGAGCCTGGGTGAGTCAGGCCTACCGAACATAACTCGGGGTTGAGTCGGGGGACTTGTTGGCCATAACCTAATCTTCGTGTCCTGGGCTGCGACGTCATGATCCCTTTGTCTTGCTTCGGATTGGATCGAGGATTTGTTGTGTTGTTCCAATTTCGTTGGTGTGCTACGTAGCGTCGCCTTTCCGTGGTCTCTATAGAAAGACAATACCAATCTTGCGAATAGGACATCTTATGCGACACCACGCATTCAAAAAGGAATTACATTGTACTCATCTTCCTACCAGGGCTGTTACTATCCCATTTATGACGATCCCATGCGTTTCTCAAGCACAGACACGCGACCATGGCATGCCCGTGCCCATACACAGCCCAACTCACTCAATGTTCGCAAACCCCGACTCCGATGTCTTATAGCATGAGAATTTCTCTTCGCCGTCCTTCACGCCGATCTCTTTCTGCTCCAGTTTGACCACATGTGCTAGACGGGGTCCATTGTTGAGGTCCTTGAGCAGCTTCTGCACTGATTCTTTGGGTCCTTGCGCCTCCCCTTCGACCTACAGGTGCTCAGCGTTAGCAATATTGCAGGCCAACCGCGTACGGCATAAAGACAATCCCAGGGGAGGGATATGACGGGCAGTGCTCGAGAACGGTACGAACCCTTCCGCAGTACGTGTTCTTCACCCAGCCCCTCACGCCGTACTCGGTGGCGCGCTTCTGCGTGAAGTCTCTGTAGGCGCAGAGACATTTGATTAGCTTGCTGTTTCGCCGGAGACCGGACATAGTAGCTGTAGTGATGGCGTACCTGAACCCCACTCCTACATAATCCGTGACTATTAGCTTATGCTTTAACAAGTCATGTTGTGGGTTACTATAGGAGGGTAGAGATCTCTGGTGCTGTATAGAGACATACCCTGCACAGTTCCAGATACCTTGAAAGCGATCTATTCATGTCAGTGATTGCAGCTTAGATATGAAGTTCGGATGACGTAGTGCGGTTAGAAGAACGCTGATAATAATCTTCAGAAACAGCGGATTAGGAGAGGGGGGCTATACTCGTTGCGATGACATCTTGATGGATGAGTACAGTCTCCTCCCAAGCATGTAGTGAGATATAACCAGTGGTACTTGTTGTTGTATGTCTGTCCTTCAATCTATACTTTGTCTGTCGCTCATCATGCGTCGCCGATATGGTTAGTCATCCACGGATGTCGCCGCGGGCATCGATGATGCCGCTTTCCTGATCTGGAAAGGTGCTGTTGCGGCGAGGAGTTAGCAGCCAATCAGCATTAATATTTTGCGCGCTCTGCACTTCGATATTCAAGATATAAACATGTCCGGTCGGTTTAATCTCTGCATTCAAGTAGGCTCTACATGAGTGTCAAAGTGTATACAAGTAGGACTTTATATAGTCTGACCGAGCTTAAGAAATAGATTTACTAACAATCGTATCAGCTATATACACGATTCATTTTGGCACTGGATATGATAACCGGCGGATTAGTTGCAAGTTGCAAGCAGCCGGACACGCTCCGCTCCGCCCCTGAACCAAAAATGGACTCGGGCGATCGATCCCGTCCGTCTCTCCCCCAGAGTTCCAGCTCCAGTTCCTCCTGCTTAGACTGACTCTCCGCACATCCACCCACTCACTCCGTCCACTTCGAGGGGTTCGTCACTCCTCACGAGATGCTGGCGCCAGAATGACTCTCTCACTTCTCGCCTGGTTCCGGCGGTTATACTCCCTCGACACCCTCGACACTCGTTTTACAGCCTCTGCGACCACTCCCGCCAAAGTCGCCGCGGCTGACGCGCGACCTGCCTCTACCAAAGATCCCCGTTCAGCTGCCATTGCCCGCAATGCCTCGCCTTCGAGATGGAACACCTTCGAATTCTATATCTACTACATCGTTTTCTTGATCGTGGTGCCGTTGATGTTCACGACTGTCATTGGGGTGTCGCAAAGTCCGTCTCCTCTTGTGCACGTGTGAGGACAAGATGCTGATTGTCCCGGCAGAGAGCCATCCCACTTATGCCACATACTCTCACTTGCTCGAGGACGGTTGGATACCCGGTCGCAAAGTTGTACGTTACTGTTGCTTCGATCGGTTCAGTATGGAGCTAATATTGCCTGGATGCTTAGGACAACTCCGATGCCCAGTATTCCGGTTTCCGAGAGAACGTTCCTTACCTCCTCATTCTCCTAGTCGGCCATCCATTACTTCGCCGAGCCTACAATCGATATGTCAGCCCAGCCAGCCCAGGCCTGGGCTCTGCAAAGGCCTCCCCGGCCGTTGTAGCTGGAGATGCCCGCCTCAAGCAACGAATCGGGTTTGATTATTACTTCGCTTTTGTCTTCATCGTTGCGCTCCACGGCGTCTCCGCTTTCAAGGTCCTCACGATCCTGTACATCAACTACCGGATCGCCAAATCGATGCCTAGAAAATACATTCCCGCAGCAACCTGGACATTTAACATTGTGACATTGTTTGCTAATGAGCTCTGTGGCGGCTATCCGCTTGAGCGCTTAGCTACTCTCCTCGCACCTTCTTTGGATGCTACCAAGGAAGTGCCCGCCCTGGTACTCTGGGCTCGTTCGCTCGATGGTTTTGGGGGTATCATCCCCCGCTGGGAGATTCTCTTCAACATCACGGTGCTCCGTCTGATCAGCTTCAACATGGACTACTACTGGGGCCTAGACTACCCCGCTGCGAGTCCCATTGAAGTAAGCCCATGTCTCCCTGTATGAAGAGCTCCTTCTGACCGCCATAAGAAGAAGCAACTCGATCCAGCAGCACTCTCAGAGCGGGACAGGGTCAGTATCCCGGCTGAGCTGTCCGCATTCAACGGTCGTTACTACGTCGCCTATGTGCTTTACGCACCCCTCTACCTGACAGGACCCATCCTGACCTTCAATGACTACATTTCCCAACAAAGATACGCCCCGCCATCACTGACTACCGCAAGAACAACCCTCTACGGAATCCGCTTCTTCCTTACTCTCCTCGCGATGGAGCTGATCCTCCACTACATCTATGCCGTCGCTATCTCGAAAGCCTCGCCCGACTGGTCGCTGTACACAGCCGGCCAACTCAGCATGCTCGCCTACTTCAACCTGCACATCATCTGGCTCAAGCTCCTGATCCCATGGCGCTTCTTCCGCTTCTGGGCCTTGGTGGACGGCATCGACCCTCCGGAGAACATGATCCGCTGCGTCTCCAACAACTACTCCGCCCTGGCGTTCTGGCGCGCCTGGCACCGCTCCTTCAACCGGTGGATCGTCCGCTACCTCTACGTCCCGCTCGGCGGGGGCAGCGGGGCCGGTGGCAGCAGCCGCGACTCCGCCTCATCCGGGGTGTTCGCCAAGGGCCGCAAGATCTTCAACACCCTCATCGTGTTCACCTTCGTCGCGCTCTGGCACGACATCAACCTGCGCCTGCTCATGTGGGGCTGGCTCATCACGTTGTTCGTGCTGCCCGAGGTCATCGGCGGCCTGCTCTTCCCCGCCAGTCGCTGGCGCTCGCGGCCCACCGCCTACCGCGTGATCACCGGCGTCGGGGCCGTGGCCAACGTGCTGATGATGATGGTCGCCAACCTCGTCGGCTTTGCGCTGGGGATCGATGGGCTCAAGGGCCTGGTGGCGTCGATCCTAGGCTCCTGGGCCGGCATCGTGTATATCATCACGGCGTGCTGTGCGCTATTCGTTGGCATCCAGGTGATGTTCGAGATTCGCGAGGAGGAAGCCCGCGCCGGCATCAACCTGAAATGTTGATCCCGCTGCTGTTTAGCTATTGCATCTATCTATCTCATGTAGTACTTTACTTATATGTCTCCGACGCAAATCAAGGAAACCCCCAATTCCAGACCGGGATCTCTGATTATTCTCTTGTTTCATGACATCTTCCTTTGAGTAGTAGTATACAAACACACACACACAAAAATAAATAAATAAATAAAAAGAACCAGCATGGTATATAGTAACACAGGCGTAGTAAAAATGTCCAATGGACTAGTCTAAAAAGAGAAACGCCCCCATACACCATAATGCACCCTCCGCCTGCGCACCCCTTCCCACTTCCTACATCTTGACACCTTCCATGAGGTGGGGTAACCCCCGCAAAGAAATCAAAAGAAAGCCCCACACCGCGAATCCTCATGCACCTTATAACACGCCAGCCCGCACGTCCGGGCATGGCAGTTCTTGCACCGGATCTTGCCCCAGTAGCCGCACATGCAGCAGAAATGCCGGGGAGAGCGGCGGGGCGCGAGCGGCGCGCCTGCGCGGGCCGCGTGGTACGTCAGCGGCGGCTCGGCCAGTAGGGCCTGCATGATGCGCTCGGAGGGCGGCGCGGGGAGGTACGAGCGGAGGAGCGGGTTGGTGTCGTGTTCGGAGCGGATGAGGGTTGTTGTGTTTGGTTCTGGTTCTTCTGTTTTCGTGGGGGTGTCGGTTGTGGGAGCCGGGGAACCGCCGGTGGTGGTGGTGGTGGTGGTGGTTTCGGGGATGGGGACGGGGGTTGTTGCTGGGAGGGTTGAGGCGCGGGAGGATGGGGGTTGGAGTTGTGGTTGTGAAGGGGGGATGGAGGGTTGTTTCTTGGTGCGGTGGTGGTGGTGGTCGCCTCCTCGTGAGGAGACCGGGGTGGAGCTGCGGCGGAGGGAGGAGGGGGTCGTTGCTGCTGTGCTGGATTTGGTGATTCGGTGGATTGAGCCTCTATGTCCTGTGGCAGTACTACTGCCGGCGCCCACTGCTGCTGCGGAGGCGGGGTTTGTTGCGGTCGTGGTGGTTCCTGGCGTGCTGGCTTGGGCGGCTTCTTCGTCGTCGAGGTAGTTGCGGAAGGTCTTTTGGGATTGGAGGATGCGGCGGACGTTGGAGGTTACTTTCGTGCGGGTTCCTGATTGTAAATTTTTTATAATGTTAGGTTTGCAGGACTATGGTCTGAAACAGGGTTTGCTTCGCGAGTTGTGAACGAGATGTCTGGGTCTTGGTGTTGCGGTGCAGTAGTGCTGAGCGAACGGCTCCGCTGTGGTAACCAACAAGGGAGGGAGGGGAGACATACCTCGTGGAGCAGCAGGCTCTTTCTGTCTCACGGGCACCTGAATCTGTACATCGCGATGGTTCTCGCGGTCGAGCTCGGCCAGATGTCGGATGATCGCGTTGGTCTGTCGGGAAGATAGATCCGTCCGGCCTGGGTCCCGGATGCCGCGTTTGCGACCGATGGTGGGCGTGATGGCTGCTTTGGCGGGGTCGAAGCCTCGATCCGGGACGTAGGTCCAACCCGGAGTGACGTGGGTTGTCGACCCGGGAAGAAGTTCAACGCGATACATCCTGTCTCGTGGTGAGTTGTTGCGTTTCTGCGACGGCGCATGCACGATAATCGAGACCACCGGCGGCGAGGAGGGAGAAATCGCGGCGATAAGAGCGAGGATACAAAATGAGGACTGGCAGGAAAAGGCGGTGAGCGCTAATGTTTGCCGAGTTTGCACCGTCTGTCTATCCGATGACGCCGATAGTCTGTCTCGCCTCCCCAAGTCCAAACGCGTCGTCGCTGAAAGTATGCTACCGTACGGAGTACATCTGCCTGTCTTGGGAAGCGCATCCATTTCACACTGTAGATCTCCTCTCATGTAAAATTTACACGCATGCGTAGGTCGGCATACACCTTCAAAATGCAATACAGTCTTTTGTTGACTGGGTTTTTTTTTACAATGCACATCTCCGTAGAAACTGCATTTCAGAGAGAGAGAGAGAAAAAGACCAAAAATGATATGCTAAGACCCGTGGCGAGGAACTCCTGCAGAAGCATGTGGAAAGAAAACAGACCCTTGATACAAGCAGAGAAGAAATAGAGGACAGGAAAATGCAATGCTAGGCTATTTTTTCTTGAGTTGGTCGACCTTGGTTTCTAGCTCGTCGATATAAGTCTGCAACTTCTGCGTAGCTGTTTGGAGAGCCTGGGAGCCCACATCAGCAAAAGAGCGAAGTCAAAAGGCAATTCACAAAGAGAAACATACGTAGATATCTTCAGTTAGCATCTCGTTGGAGATTCTGTACTCAGCCAATATGTAGTAATAGACGACAACGCCGGCAGCAACCGAGCCGGAGAGGAAGCCGAAGATTCTGTAACCAAGAGAAGAGTCAGTCCAACCGGAAGACGGTAGTCCATCTCTATGGGCGTGATATCAATATGGAATGGATGCAGTACCCTCCACGGAATGCGCCCACGGGCTTCTTAGCAGGCAGCGTAGTAGCTGCCTCCTTCATCAAGGGTGAGGCCGCGAAGCTCCGCGTCGGAATGAAGACCGGCTTGGTTGCGACGGCGCGCCATGCGCCAGGCGATAACACTCTTCGAGTCGCACTCATGGTCATGAATTTGAGGCGTATCTTGAGAATAAGTCAGTCAGAAGCATAGCAGAGCTAGTCACAACTACAAAGTGACTGTCCGAGGTCTTACGTGGTATAAGTAGAAGTGGAGGTGGAAGGTGGAAAGTATGCAGCAGATGTTTTGGTGGGTGTGGGTGGATGCGGAGGAAGAAGCTTGGGTGGAGAGAGTGACGTTGTTGGCCAGCCAGTTGGGCCGAGGATGTTACGAAGAGTACGAAGTACTAAACCACGGGCCCAATAATAGACACCTCCAATTACTCTATATTATTCAGTGCCCACCCAACTCAACTGTCGATTGCTGCGTATTATCTTTTCCGCTTCTCCAGAATATTCCATCACACAATCAAAGTCATCTATTCACTATGCTTCTCTAATCCCTGGCGCATACGGAACATGCGGATCGACGCCTCCGACGCCCCGACACCTGAAAATTAACGCTGGAAATGTCGCCTCTATCCCACAATACAAGAACGTGCGCTGTACGTGCGCATTGCCAGTCACGCTAGTTCGAATTGTAATAGACAAGCAAAAAATATCAAGATACACAGGCAGCACACGAACAACTCAGAAACCCTAGTTGGCCATGGTGCTTTCATTAAAGATATCCGCCAACAGATCATTCACACATGCATTCAACTGTGGTTGGCCCATGCTGTAGGTACTCTCAAATGCGTGAATGCTGAGCTGGTCGAAAAATGGCCGAAGCACCCGATCGACAATCTCATCCTTTGCTGTCTCACGGATCCAGTCCGCAGTAAGGCTCGGTTGTCTCGCCCCCTGGCTGAGGTTGGTCGTTTCTCCAGCCCCATCGTTCGATGTAAGCCCACGCATACCCAAGCTCTGCGAGACCTCATCCGCAAGGGCCATCGGCTCGAAGCCTTCCGGAGGGTAGATGGCGTCTATGGTGTCGGTAACATAAAGCCACTCCAGAAGTTGGAAGTCGTCTGGTGCCAGTACAAGTAGCGTATCTAAGAGTTTGCATGCCTGCAGCAAGGCATATGAGTTGTATACATCTTGTTGCGGACCCAGCGGTACGGCAGATATAGCTTCTTGGAGTTCAGCATTGATGAGTGGCCAGAATGTGGACAACGCCGTCGCCGAGCTCTTAAGCGCAAGAGCACGCAGAACCATGAAGATCTCGGCCCGAGTGGTTGAAGATGGAGAAGAAGTAGTAGTCGCCCCAAGTAGGTCTTCCAACTTCTGCAAAAGGGCTGGTAACTCTCCAATATAGTAATCATTGTTAGCAGACAAAATGAGGAGACTGATGCGGCGAAGGTTCAGTTGAGCTTTGCGGTCAGCTTCGAGGCGGGCAGCAGAGGCCCCAACGCCGAACATAATACCTGCTGTGCTTGGTGGCGGGAGGCGGGACAGCATCTCAGACAAGCGATCTTTATCTGCAAGCACCCACTGTCGCAGTAGACTCAGCCATCCCTCCCGAACCAAGTCCATCTGCATCCCGAAGAATCTAGGGTCGTTGAATGCATCGGCTATGTCTTTTTTCCATACTTTAGCAGCAGATGGCACTTTAGCTATGTGCTGGAACAGAGTCATGAAATTATGGTTGAGGTTGTTCGGGAAGAGTCGCGAGCGAAAGAGAGGACCGATCACATTCGTTGAAATACCGGTTACTGCGGAAGTGATCCGGTCGGAATCTCCGAGTGTGATTGTGAATGCAGGCATGGATGCCGCAAGGATGCTAAGCATATCGTCAGGTCCAATATTCGGTGAGGGCGAGTTGTCATAGTCGATAGAGCCGCGGCTGAGGGAAGACTCTTGAGCGATGCCCATCGGCTTGCTCGTCCAGATTGCGGTGAGAAGGCGAAGCAAGACGTCCTATCATATGTCAGTAAGCCTCAATGAGTTTATCTGTCCTTGATCATCGCGTACCCCAAGTTCTTTCCTCATCCGTCGATCTTCCCCAAAGCTGGTATTTTCCAGTTTGGCTCCAAGGATCGCTGCAAATTCCACCAGCCGTGGAAGGATTTGCCGGTGTGGGAATGGGTTGCTCAGCACATCACGAAGAAATGTGGTGCAATCGGCCCAGATCTCGTTGAGCACATCGTCATCCAGCGACCTCGCGTATGCCACCAGGAAGCCCGCCAATTCAGATTCGGTCAGGCTCGCGGTCAGTGTAGATTTGCGGCTCGGCTCTAAAGCTGCCGGATTGGTTCTTGTATAGATGGAATTGAATACAGCCGGGATAGCGATCTTTGGTCTAGATCCATCCAGAGTGTGGAGCAGACTCATAATCAAAGACGAGGTCTCGCTATCAGATTTTGTCCACATCTCCACAGCTGTCTCTAGACATTCGAGTGCCTCTGCATTGAACAGATGTTCGAGGATGCGACGCGATCTATTCCTCATGCGCAGAGACGTGTACTGAAACGACGCTATCGATTCTGCGTCTTGTGGCAGCGTACTGCGTTCTACGGCACCCCAAGACCATATAGTGAAGCAGAGCCTCACGGCATCTTGGAAGCAGAGTAGAACAGTAAGCCGATTGTTCGCTGCGGCCGAGCGCGTGTGGTTCGATTCGGATGAAAATACCCCTGAAACCATGTTGCCAAAGAATCCATGATTCTGGTCAGGACTCTTGACAGCAGGAGTATTGGCCTCCTCTACTAGCAATCGCTCGTGAGCAGTAGCAATGCAGGTCTCGAGAGCGCTGAGAAGAGCAATGGTGGCATACTCAGATCGATCATCAGGCCATCCTTCTGTACGCTTGAAAGCGAGTTGCAGGCTCGCATAGCAAAGTTGGATCTCTTTACAGAGTGATTCAACAAGCATGAGTAGTATTTGAAAGATTGACCCCGCGTAGAGTGGGAGTACTTCGCAAAGAAGGACAGTCCACTTGTCCACAATTCCTCTTGAACTCTTGGAACCAATGCCTTTGAGAAGGCATTCGAGAAGTTGTTGAGGTGGCTGAGGGAAGGCAGACAGCGCAGGTACCTTCTCTGGTTTGTCGCTTGTAAAGGACAAGATAGAGGGACTTGTCAAGCGCTCACGAGAGCTTGCCCGGTTGTGTTTCGGCCGTGGAGGGGGGGGTGGCAGATACGCTTGCGCAAACCGGACCTTCAACGCCGCTAAAAGGGTATCTATCAGGTCTCCTTGGATTGAATCATTCGCGCCATGATCCAGGGCGCGAGAGAGTTTATCAACCAGGAACGAGTCAATTCCAGATTCAATGACCTCTTCAGCTCCTGGACCAAGAAGGAGCTGTCGCATGACTAGTAATGACGTTTGTTGCAGTCTGGTTGTCTCCAGGCCATGAGTACCTGTGGCTGTCTGCTCGCTGATCAATTTCAGGCTGGCTTGGTAGATGATGGTATGAAGGCTCTGAAGCTCGGCGCTCTCTGTCCAATTGTTAGTTAGATGTATTTTCAGGGAGAATAGTCCCAACATACCTTCAGATGCATGCACATCCTTACGCTTGCTAACCTGAGATAGCGTCTGAGTGAGAAGAGTGATCCAGCCATTGTGATCAAGCGTAGAGATGAGATTGGAGATGGTCCGCAGCAGATAGTCGCATTCCTTGTAGTCATCTGGCGACAAAATCTGATTGTCGCTTCCCCCTTCACCGTGACTTGAACCCTGGAAGAGACGATCCAGCCGCGAGACTATTATACGAAAGACCCTGTAGTTTGTGAGCATTTTCTATGACGGAGAAACACCTCCAAAGTTGTAGGAAAATCCCTTCGGGACCAATAATGCCTTGTCAGGCTAGAGGGCAAGATTCCTACTTACTTGTGCATAGCCGGCAGATCTTGAAGCCATCGTTGGACAACTCGAGAATTTTCGTTCGAGGGCTGAGAGAGCAAGTCTAGGACGATGAAAAGCGGACGTTCAAGCATCGAAGCTTGGTACACCTTTGCTGACTCGATAGAGTTATATAAGCGCTTTGGCGGCAGCTCATAGTTGCCTTGGTGACTGTGATTCCACAAGACGAAATATCTTCCAAGTTGCTCGCCTGTCAACCCTTCAAAAGGCACTGTAGACGA